ATTACAGAACACCGGTGAGAAGCTGGGCGTAAACTAGGTCTGTTAATTAATGTGACCCAGAAATCTAAGATTCAGTTTTCAGGATTATTTTTTTGCTTATGGAATCCAGACATCATTTCAAATGCAAAATGCTTCAATTTTCTTCTGAAAGGAAAGGAAGGCAGAACGTTATCTATGTTACATAGGAGTTTGGAGATTTAGCTCTGCATTCTTGGAACACTGTAATACAATCTCCATGTGGCAGTCATTTCTACTGTGAGTTTTTGGGGCTAGGGTATGAGAGCTAAGTTGATTCTTTTTTTTTAAGCTGCAGGAAAAGGACATTGAACACTACAATAACAATAGGTTGCATCCTTTCCAAAATAATTTTGCAGAAGGAAAGGGATTTACTATGTTTTCTTACCAGGCTTCACAAATTAATCACTTATGGAGACACTGAAGCACACTGAATGGCCCCCAAGCTGACTGTGGGGCTGGTGGATAAAGCAGTGCTACACATGGGTCCTCAGCACAGACCCAGACACAGCCTGGCCCTTAAGGTTTTGGTCTCTTGTTTTTTTTGGGGGGGGGCGGGGAGAGAAATGTTTGTTTTCAACCAGGTCTCTTTGCTACTTGCTTTTAAGTGATGAAGATACAATGAAATTAACTTGAAGTTCACAAACTTTCATAATAAAATGAGATATATTTTGATTCTTACACAAAATTCAGGTCAGTTAGCCTTGGATGACTACTACTATATAAAGCACAGATTTTTTTTTATATCATTAATATACAGTTACATGAGCAACATTGTGGTTACTGGATTCCCCCCATTATCAAGTCCCCATAATATACCCCATTATAGTCACTGTCCATCAGTGTAGTAAGATGCTATAGAATCACTACTTGTCTTCTCTGTGTTGTACTGCCTTTCCCATGCCCCCCAACTACATTATGTGTAAAGCACAGATTTATAGTCCTGATTGTCTTAAAATTTAATGCACGATTAGAATTTGTTAGCGTTCACAGTGGTTTTTGGTTGTCTCCTAAAGCCTAAGTGATCACATGTCTATTTTTACCTCTGAAAAAACCAAAAGGGGGGTTCTGTAAGTGTGCATGTGAACCCCAGTATCTACAGATGAGCCTCCTGTGATGCCCAAATCTCTGCCTCCCTCCCATGGTCACAGAGACTCCAGGGCAGAGCACAGAACAGCACCAAGACTTGCTAGTCATAACAGCCGTTGACAGTTATATCAGCACTTACAATGGAATTGCTCAAAATCTTTATTATGTCTCCTTCGAAGTAACAAAGGTGTCATGTATTTAGCACCTCTAATCTTGTAGGTGCTATGACAGATACATCGTGAATGGGGTCCTCTTTGAAAAAACAAGAAAAAGCAGAAACAAACATGAACTCAAACCAGCTCATCAAGAAGACAGCATAACCTCTTTTGCAAGTAGCAAAGAGACCTGGTTGAAAACAAACATTTCTCCCCCTTCCAAAAAAAGAACAATGGCGATAAGGATCTCAGGGTGTCCAGTAACTACTGGAAGTACCCCAGTGATCAGAGAAGCAGCTGGAGAACATTGGGTCATTTGACAGTGAGGAGTGCTTTCTTCTCAAAGGACTCATTCCGACACCTGAATTCTGTACACAAACCGGTTTTTGATCTGCAAAATTTTATTAAGCAATAGCTGGACAACTCTTACAACTTGAAATCAAGAAAAAAATAAGGAGCTTACTCCTTCTCAATAATAAAGACAGAAAATAATTTAGACAAACCACATCATTTTGAATGCAAACCATTAATGCCTTCTAGAATACCTCCTGCACAATCTAATACACAAAATACAGAAGAAGAGAGGCAAGTAAGGGTGAGCTCATTAGAATGCAACTGGGAATCTGAACAGATCTTGCTTGGAAAGTAAAACATAGTTGGATGCTGAGTTGAAAAACAAACAAACCAACATTAGACAGACTGAGGCGTGCAGAGTGGCACGCGCCATTCCCAAGGTTTGGACAAGAACATGCTGGTGGTGTGGTTTGGTCTGGGACCTGTGCACCTGCATTGTGCACTTCCAATTGAAAAAGAAAAAAAAAAAAAAAAGAAAATGCCAGTAGTAATAAACTCAGAAATTATGTCCAAATTTACAGTACCAAAATAATGCATTTATAAACAAATGCAAAAACAATACCCCTTTGGTAAATAATACAGTGCCTTTTTCAGTCAAACGCATAACCCATGCTTTTCTACAACATGAAAAAAAAATTATCTACAATAAACAACAAGATCTTAGAACCCTCCCCTCCTCTTTAAAAGAACTTGTAAACAGAAAATATAGGTACAAGTAAAGTTACAAGAAAATTGCACGAAGCCAAAGAAACAAAAACAAAATAAGCCACAACCCTTCAGAATTTTATCAGCCGTTGATAATACAAATGGTGAAGAGTTTTGAGTTGTGTGCTGTTACCAAATCCCAGGAAGTCAACGTTTTTGACACATTTTGTCTCAACTTTGTTCATAACCACTGACTTGGCCAAGAGATAGATTGCCCCCGCAGGGACACAAGGGGTTCCTTTTCAAGAAATCTTTTGAACTTGAAGAAAGTGTGATACTGCAGAGCACACCCCAAAATTCACGCCAATCTAGGCAGATACTCCTTTGTTCTTTTTTCAACCTACTCTACAGTCTTTGGGGCAAGTGGTGACTTATTTTAGGGCTGTTCTCAAGGGTGTCCACCAAGCAGGGCACGCTCCTGGGGAAGCCCTTCTGTCTTACCTGGAAATGGTGCTTTTGTGTAATTTAATAAAAACAAAGATGATTCCAAATGCATTTGCTTCTAAAGGTGAACCTGCTAAAGATACGATTTTAAATGCACTGGTTTACATTCAGTAGATGATAGCTCATTACCATAGGAAAATACTTCTCTACAAAAAGGTAGTATCTTGAAACATACCTTCCAAGTTTGTATGTAATATGGAATGAAGAAGCTGTCACATTTTGAGCCCTCAGGCTGCTAGAGTGGAACAGGAGTTTAGATGATTAACCAGGCCACCTCTTTCATTTTATGGATGGGTAAGAATAGGACCAAGGTCCTCCTCCAACTCTTTGGAAGAACAGGCTTGAACCTGGGTCCCCCTGACTTTCTGCTATGACATGATGGACGTATGTGTTTGGATAAAGTACTAATCTGCAAAATCTTGACTTCTACTGTCATTAGAGCTTTGACATTTTCTTGCTTCCTTGGTACCAATTTTTCTTTGGACATACATTCAATCGGTATACTGTACACCAATCTATGCCTTTGGTTTGATGAGGTTAGAGTTAAAACAAATTTAAAATTGGGTTTATGCCTCATTAATATACCACATCCCTCAAAAGGCATGGATTCTTTAAGTAGTTGACTAGTGGACTAATGTTTTTAAGTTTAGACATACAATAAGGTATCTTAATACTCATAAATTGCTATTAATAAACATGAAGTACCTACAATTCTGCTGTTTAAAGAATTCTGCTGACTTTATTAGTGTTTAATAGATTGGGACGGACTGAACGAAAACAATTTTTAGAGTAAGTAAAACCATCACCATTAACTTAAAAGACCTCATTACAACTGCCGCCGACTTCTGCAGAAGAGCCCTGGGCCGAGGGGCCCGCCCCCCGCCCTCCTGTGGGCGGGGTGAGTGGAGGCGGGCAGGGCAGCTTCCTCAGAGGCCACGCCCCGGTACGCAAAACAGCCAAGACTGAAGCGTTTGTCTCCACAGGGGAGAAGGCCTTTGGGGGAGTGAGCTAAATTTAGCTAGTTGATGATTTGTTTCAAATACTCACTTTTTCTTCACACATTTATTTGTAGTTTTTATTCCAACCATTTCCACCTATATTTATTCTTAGTCTAAAAAATTCTAAAATGTACCCTTTTACGGTCTTTATATCTCAAAAACCAATCAGAACTGTAACAACTGAAGCTGATTACTAGTAATCCCTTGCTTGGCTCCTCTCCTTCTAATAAGCCTGCCCTCTTCATTTCATATCACCTTTTATTTTTGATTAAAAATAAAATTTTCAAAAGGGGAAATATTATTTTAGGATATGCTATCTCAAATCTTCTTCTTTGTATATAATCAATACCACAAAATGCAAAAAAAAGAATTATTTTTAAAGGATTACTAGGAATTTTTTTCCCCAATTAGAAAAAGTTACAAATTGTCCAGCAAAAAAACCTCCTGTCATATTCTCTTTATTTCTTGCAGCAAAACATACTGCTACCAAATAAGTCGTTACAAACATACTATTTTTCTAAATAAATAATAAAATGGGCATAACTCACCAGCACATAGTAACAAAATAATTACTAAGAATAGTATTAAAGCAAGATAAATAATTACCTCTTGGACAATAAAACAAAGGAATTGCATTTAAATTATTTTAGAAATAGGCCATAACCATTATTGCACAACTAAAAGTAAGCATGGAAACATCACATCAAGCTACAGAAACTCATATAAAAGACTTACATAAATCTGAATGCATTACTAAATTCTTTCTGGAAGAATTTACCCACCAAAGAATCAGGTTCAATATTTTAAAATATAAAATGGGAAACTCTGGTTTGGGAGATGTCTTTCATCATATTTAAAAACATTGTGTTTCTTTGGGGTCTAGAAAGAATGGTGAGTGACATTGTCTTCCTCTGGCAAAGGAAGGGGCCAGATTCTTTTCTAATTTTTAAACCCAAACAGGAAATTTTAAAAATACGTATTTTGAAAATACTTTTCTGCAATTATCTTCCACTTGTCTGTTCTCTAACAAAATCCAAATTTTGGACCCTAAGCCAGTAGTCAGTTATTGTACTCCTGCCCTAAGCAACATCAGAGATATAAATAAAGAAAGAAAGAAACGAGCTGGGTCTGGTCACCAGGACTGCATACTGCCCGACAAGGTGGCACCGCACAAGGGGAGGTGGGAAAAGATCCTTAGTGGCTTTTTTTTTTTTTTTTCCAGAGCACTCCTGCCTGTTGGTTAGCAATTTATATAGAGTAGTCAACCAACTACCATAAGTACTACAATTTAAATAATGTTTTTCCAGTGGCTTATCTCCTCAGTAAACAGTCTATACCATTAATAAACAACTTTTTTTCCTAGAGAAGACTGTGGGGCTTTTGTCAAAGAATTATGTGGGATGATAACTCTCTTTGAATACCCTGGCAAATGTTTAAAAATTTTTGGTTACATTTCTAATCTATTGGAAAACATGTCTAGTCAACTGAATTTTGATGTAGCTGAGAAGAGGAAAGGAGTGTTTTCAAATTGGTATCATCAGCATTGGGAAGAGAAAGTGTAGAACACTGGCATCTAACGGGAAAGATAATGTCCACTATCAACATTTCCCAGATTAAACAATAGAAGGGGAGAGGGAATAAAGGCTGCTTCTCAGCAAGTGGGTGGGTATCCAGTGACTTACCACTGCACTAGGTGAGAAACGTCCCACCCACCACACTCTGGGGTCTTCCCACTCTTGGCTTGTACCCTCCCCCGAAGGCAGTCACACTGAACGATCGTCACTGAACCTATGGAATTTTGACATGTTACAAAACTAGTGGATTCTTCATGTAAACATCCCCCTGCAGAGGAGCATAGCCCTTGGACTATTTCAAGTCACACTGCACGACCCCCGCAAGCACATGTGCAGGAGGGCCTCCTCCCCAGCAGCCCTCCCCAACTTCAATGGGGGCAGGGCATCTTCACACCTGGTAATAGCACCCCCATCAAAAGCCTACTTTTATTAGTCAAACACAGTGCATTTGCCAAAATACCCTTCATTAATCAAGTCACCTTTGGGAGAGTAAACATTTTCCCCCCCAAGAGAACCTGTACCTTCAGGATTTTTGGTTGTCTTTTAAAGAAGTTTTTTACACTAGTGGTGATATTGGAGGAGTAATAAAAGTTGGATGTTGTGTAGAATGAAAATAACACATACTTCCTGGTATGAAAGAACTGCGGGCCATGAGGCAGTCGGTCCATCTTCCTTCTGAAGGGCCCCTTGACCCAGTAGTAGACACAGCAAGCCCAGAGGGACGTTACCGACCACACTTCCTAGAACACCAGGTGCCTTGCACCCTTGTCTCCCAAATACCACTCTCCTGCATTTTGTTTTTGTTTACAAAGAAAGAAGAAAGAAAGACAATAAAGGATAATAAAAGTCCAAATGAATGACAAGGATTACAGATCAGTGCCCTCTCCTGGGCCGGACAGACTTTCCCAGTTTGGCTCTTGTCTTCTGATCTCCAGGCACGGGAGCCCGTGAGGGCTCTCCTGGCATCTCCAATCAGACCTCTTGGAAAGGGCTCCTTTGCCTCTCTTTCTCCTCCCCATCTGGCCTCTTCATTTCAGGCGCTGAGTCACATTGGCCAGGGCGACTGCGAAGGCCTGCACAGCTGAGAAGGGGTACTGGAAGTCCAGAATGTACGCATTGCCATCGATCCTTCCAAACTGCATCACCTGGGGGGAGGAGGGGGCGGTGAAGCAAAGACATTACAGGAAGACAAGGTGGAAACATGGCAACCAGGTCTGAGCAGCTCTGGAGGGAAGCAGACCACACTGTCTTAGAGAGAGATTTGCCGACAAAAGGACTATGATCAAGCTATGCTCTCGATCCAACTATGAGTCTGTTGGGAACAAAGGAACAAAGGGACAGAGGGACGAGTTAAATAGTGTAGTGAGGAGACAAGGAGCGACATTCACAGCATGAAAAGCTCCAGAGGGCAAATGAAGAGGCTTCCTCACCAAGGACACAGAAAGGAGAAAGAAAAGGAGAAAGATGCTCTACAGGCTAAAAGAGGCTCAAGGGAAACTTCAACTGTAATTGTCAAATATCTCTGCTCAGAGATGGAGAAACACAGCTCTTTTCCATCAAGCTCCACCTCCCCAGCCTGCTCCCCTCTATCATTTCAGTACTGTGACCACATCGTATTGTATGTATTTGTTTATGGTCTTTCTTTCATTTTTGTGAACTCCATGAGGACAGGAACTTTCTCTGTTTCCCTCACTGATATAATTTTAGCGCTTGGAGCAGCAGTTGGCAAACTCTCTAAAGGGCTGATAATGAGTATTTAAGGCTTGTAGTCACTTGTCCTTTACCATAGCTACTTAACTCTGCTGCTGCAGGGCAAAAGCAGCCACAGATAATACTTAAGTATATGGGTGTGGCTGTGTTCCAATAAAACTTTATTTATAAAAAGCAGCAGCAGGCCAGACTGGTCCTCAGGCCACTGTCTGCCAACTCTCAGCTCAGGCATACAGAAGATGCTCCATAAATATTTGTTGAGAGTGAATTAACGAAAATGAGATTTAAACAGGAAAGGGAATTCCCAGGATGGTAGATAAAGGTAGTCCCAGAATAGCCACAAAGCAGGGCCAAGAGCAGCCATACCCCACAGGGGCAGGAAGAACTGACAGATTACCCAGTGTGTTTAACTGTACCAAGAGGAGATTTACACTTTGCCAGCAAATCCAGGAGTTACTTAATAGCAAATCCACAGAGAAATAAGCAGATAAACAAACAAAAACTGGGTGATTATTGTCTAGGGAAAAAAACTATAGACTAAAAAAAGTAAATGTAATGAAGCCCTAATACATGGCTCAGCTGCGAAATGGTATTAATTGGCATAACGAGGTAACCAGTGAGTACTGATTTAACTGAGAAGAGGGGAAGGGGAAGCTCATGTGTGCACTGATGGGGGTGGGGGAGAAGAAAATCAACCCTCACGTTACTTGGGAAGAAGTCAGCACATGATGCCCCTAACTGAAAACCAGTGAGTACAAGTAGGACCATGTGTTCCTTACAGATACGGTGTCAAATACCAAAAAAGCAAACAGTCGGGAGAATGTGCCTCTGTGAAAGCAGGTTTTGGGAGTGGACAGGGGCTGGGAAGGGCCCTGCTGGTTTTCCTCATGGGCCTCCTGTAATCATTTGACTTAAAAAAATCAGTACATGTGTTACTTTGATGGGAAAAAATGAAAGCCAGCCATAGGCATACTACAGACTACAACCCTGACCAGCCCCCCAGAGGAGGTATCACTGATTTCCACATTTTCCCATTTGGCCTTTCGAAGAATGTTCCCAGACACCAAGGCACTGATAACACTTCACTTGGTTTTTAAAAACCCACAGGGACCTGTCAAGATGAGAAAGTAGTGATCCTGGCCATGCCCAGGGGCATGCTCTCACCTGCCGCCCCTCCAGCTCGATCTGGAAGTTCTTTGCCGACTCCTGGGTCACCCGCCCCCCAAAGTCCAGCTGGTACACCTGCGTGGCCTCGTTCCACAGCGGCTGCTTGTTGGCCATGACATACACGAAGCCTTGGCTGCCCAGCCGTCCGTCCTCCTTCTCGCTGGCTTTCCGGCACTTGAACTCCTCCAGCTCACTGGTGGCGCGCAGGTTCCTCTTGCTCTTCCAGCCCTTCTTGCTGCCCTGGCTCTGGTTCATCAGCTCGTCCCCGCTGATGAACAGCTCGGGCTCGCTCTCCGAGCTGTCCTGGAACTCGCTCGTCTTACTCAGCTTCTTGGACTTGAGCTGGTCTTTCTGACTCTTCACTTTCTTCTTCTCTCTCCCCAGGCGGGGGCTGGAGATCAGGGAATTGAAGTCGCTCAGAGTCCGAGCCTCCTTCTTCACTTTGCCCTCAGTGATGGCCTGAACATTCCCTTCCTCTGCTCTGCTGTCCAGGCGCTTCCGGTTCTTCTTCCCGAATTTCTCTGTCCGCTGGGGGACTGGGCTTTCTGTCAGGGAGAGGACTTCCTGGAAGTTGTCTGCAGTCTCTACCATCACCTCTGTACCCAGGTGGCTTTGCAGGTCGGTGGGCGGCGGGGACACGAGGGGCTTCTCCACCACCAAGTGTGCCTTGGCAGGGAGAGTGCTCTGGGGGTTCTGCACGGGCGGGCACGCGCTGTAGGAATTCCAGGGGTGCAAGGCGATAGGTGGCAGCTGTAAACTCGAGCAGGTGCTGCTTCCTGGGTACATGGGGGGCAAGGTACAGTAGGAGAGGCTGGGCGGGTAGGCTGGCTGAAGAACCACGGCAGACTCCTGTTGTGCAAACTGTGTTGGGGACAGGGCATCCTTTGGGGTGCAGGGAGCCTGCACTCCCGGCAAAGGGGGGGTGTTATAGCTGGATCCAGGGTAGGGCACTCCCATCCCATAGCCTGTTTGGAAAGTGGCAGTAGGGCTGGAGGGAGGTTTGGGGGAGACGAAGGGCACTCGGGACACGTCCAGGTGCTGCTGGCTCTGCCCGACCATCAGAGCGGGCAGTTTCAGGGGGTTGGGCACTGCAGGCTGTGCTGTCCTTTCCTGAGGAACCCAGATGTCCTCCCCGAGCACAGGGTCCCACTGGTACGGGGGTGGCCGTTTCGCAGGCACAGTAGCTTCGCCAAGCGAGGGGTGCCTCAGGGGCTTCTCCACCTGGCAGTGCTGGGCCAGCGCCTCGTCCTCGGTGAAGGCCGAGTTGACGTAGTCGGCGCGCTCACGAGTGCTGTCGGGCGGGCTCAGGAGGCTGTAGGACGACTGGGAGGCCAGCGGGGAGGCGCCGGCTTGCGCGCTCCCTGCACCTGGCTCCTGCCGGCCCGCCGCGCCGCCGCTGCACTGGCTGCACGTGTACAGAGCCGTTGGGGGCCGCGCGGGGAACGGCGCCGCGCCCTTCAGCTTGGCCGGGTGCTGCGGCAGGGCGCGCGGGGGCTCGGCCAGCTGCGCTGCCTTGAGCGCCACCTCGCGGTTGTTTCTGCGCAGCGTGGCGTGGATGAGGCTGTCGGGCCTCTGCGCTGTGCCCCGGCAGGAGGCCAGAGGGCCTGCGATGTCAGGGTATGGGGGAGGATCCCCTGTGGGGATGGAGTAGCGCGGGATGGTCAGGCGGTTCAGGGTCGCACTGGTGCAGGGCTGGGGGACCTTCTTCTCAGTGGCAGTGAGTCTCAGGGTGGCTGAGCTGCCGGGGCCGGGGAGGGTGTAGGTGTTCTGGGTGCAGAGCATCCGGGTCCGGGGCCGGCACACCTCCTCCACGTTGCCGCTGCTGTCGAAGGTGGTGATCCTCTCGTAGCCCAGGGGTGTCTGGAAGTGCGCCGCAGTGGGGTACAGTGAGAAGTCGCCCTTCTTCAGGCACACATCCACTGGGGGCTGTGGGGGAGGCAGCGGGGGTGGGGGTGCAGCGGTCGTGGGGGCGGCAGGGATGGTTCCTGGGTAGGGCGGTGGGGGGTTCATCTTTGCCACCTGGACCTCCTGAGGGGCACTGAATACCACGGCGTCCCCCTCAGCAGCCAGCTGTGGCACCGGCCGCAGGGCCTTGGCTGACTTCTGCAGATGGTCATGGTCCCGGTCTCCATGGTCCACCACTGATAGCTGGATGGCCCCCTGTGAGGGCGGCGGCAGGGACAACTGCGGGGGTGTCGGGATGATGCGGCCCATCTCCACACCCCCGAAGATCACCTGTCCAGGGCTGGAGTAGCGGTTGGAGATTGGGTACTGGGTGGCATTGTCACTTGCGTGCTCAGCTGTCCCCACTGCCGTCGTCTGATTAGTCAGGACATCCAGCTGCACGTTCTGATTGGCCAGCAGAGACTGCACCAGTCCTATGCTCTGCGTGGGGGACATAGCTTGAGCAGAGCTGTGGATGGGTGCGATGGGGATGTTCACGGTACAAGGGGGGTTGTTCTCAGGTACACCAGAGGCTCCCGTCACTGTCAGGAAATAAGAGAAACTAACTGCTTACAAAACAGTGTCATGAAACTGAGTCAAAATAAATACATCTCAACTCACCCACTTCTTTTGCCTACAGAATGCATCTGCTATAGATGGAGATGTGCTTACTGGCGAAAAGCTGAACCATTCACACAAGTTATATGAAGTTTCTCTAATTTTCTAGGACACAGGCAATTGGGTTCTGCAGTGTGTGGTCCCACTAGCTAAGGGAACTGTCAAAACTTTTCAACACACCAACCTTCTGAATTTGGTACCGTGTACCAAATACTTAATTTGATTCTTAAAAATGCTGTTTACTCATGATATTAATAAAAAAGCTCACTCTTTCATGCAAGAGGGTAATGGTACAGCATGAAATTCAACTACAGACTCATAATGCCAAGGCTTCCAAGAATGTTTATCCAGTTACGTTTTGGTTAATGTGAGAAGTATCATGCAGCAGATGTGTATCTGAATTTTGCATGTAAATTAATAGAACTATAAATAGAACCATGTAAAATGTACCAGAGAAACCTATGAATAGAATCATCCAGCAAATTTGCTGCTTTTAGCATTTCAAACAATATGTATGGTAGAGCCACAATACACAAAACCCTATAAATATATCCTGTTTGTACACAGCAGGAATTGAACGGTGCACACATTTCAGCAATGATCTACAGATCCCATGCAGGTGCTCAGAGCCACTGCTCTGTATTGCACTGTCTAAAGTGCCCATAGAGCACTGGCAAATTCGCTTACCTGGGCCTATTTAAGTGCCGTGCGGCAGCTGGTATGAAAGCAGGAAATAGGACTTAACAGGCTAACTGTAAAGGCTGGGTAAGCTTTCACCAGACCTACCCAATGAAGCCAGCTAGTTTGTCCAAGGCTAAGGTACCCTTCGTGCCTGTAATACTACCCTTCTCTACGGTTCTCTAGTTAAAGGTAACTATCTTCTGACTGTAGGAATCTGGGTCCTGTTTCAAGTTTTCTATTATTTCTGTTTAGAGAGAGGTCTTACCTATTTGGAATACTGCAGGCAGGGGTCTTCCCCGCCAAAGAAGAGTGAGTCTCTGCTGTGTCACCAGCATTAAGTGTGAGCCCTGAAACAAAAATGTTCTCTCCCCTCCCAGGGAACCACAAACAATAAGGACACAGAAGCAACAGCTAAGCATTAGTGAGAGCTCTATTAGTCACCTGCTGGGAGAATGGGGGGTGTGAAAGGGAACTAACTGCAAAAGACACTGCTAAACCCAAGGACTCTGAAATAGCAGGGGATGTACTATATAAAGCTCAGCTGTGAGGCTTCATCAAATCCCAGGTTTATGTGGTTGCAAAACCTCACCCACAGTGCCAAGTTAGTCCATAACATCTGCTCCACCCATGGAAGAGATGTACATCAGAGAACCAAAGACTGCTACAGCCAGAAGTCAGGTACAAATAACTCTACAGGTAAAATTGGGCCAAGAGGAGGTAAACAACATTCCTCAAGTGCAGAATAGGGATCGGGCTGCACATCCTTCCCTGCTCCGTGGCAAGGACCAGAGGGAGCCTCTCTGTGCCACAACGGCCAAATTCAGCAGTGAAGTGGCCCTCTCCTCTGGTTCAGAGACCAGGGCCTTTCAGACTTGCTGGGCTGTAAGAAGAAGAGTCTTCATATTTATAAAATTACAGATGGACTTTCTTGAGAACAGTTATATATAAATAATTGGCAGATTAATGAGAAGTCTTTCTAAAATCTATTAATCAAAAGAGGATACCCCACTAGAGAAACACTTAAATTAAGATGCTGCAGATATTTGAAAATTTATGAACTGGGATTTAAAAAACTTGTACCTGATTTTATTTTTGACTCAGACCAGGCATTTATGCACTGAGTCACACATTGCATGTTGGGAGAGAGATGTTCAAAAGTCAAGGCACTGTGTCCTGGAGACGAGGCAGGTTGGTGGAGCCGGGCTGCAGGCGCCACAGGGGCATCTGAGCAATGCCATCTCCTAAGCAGGGACTGAAAGGACAATGGCTAGCCTAGGGTCAGTGTGATTGGGTTTCAGTTCTGGTTTTATTGCATCCCCATTAGTACTTATAAGTTCTCTTTATCCAGACACATGGCTAAGAAGATTACTGCGAGGATAAAACAAGACGACAGAAGCACTCTGTGAACACCAGGTGTCGTGGCCACCTTAACTGTCCTTGCTCTGGAGCTTTCCTTCTCTGCAGACCAGTGACCGTATGTGACCCTTCTCCTGTGACATGCCACCACACCTACCAACCTTACTGAGGGAGTTGTACCTTTCCCAAATGGAGGCAGCAGGCATGTGACATGCTATAATCCTCAACTACTTACCTCCCTGTCCCCCTGCAGAACTCTCTGAGAGGCCTCATGACAAACCAAAAGACATGTGGGAACACACCTGGTAAATCATCTTCATCTTCACTGAAAACATTCGCGTTGAAGACAGGTAAATTCACATAGTCCATGGAAATCTTCCGAACCTCTGGGAGATAGATGGTCATCTGCCGCGGCTGGAGATGCAGGAGGCTGGTTTTATAGATTACTGGTGGGGAGGGGGAAAGTGCAGTTAACAGAGACACCCCTGAGGAGAGCAGAGGTGCCAAGAAAGTCACAGGAAGAAAAATGAAGCCACAGTGTCCCTGCTGTCAGAAGATCTGCATGGGCAGGGCTGAGGGTCTGAGAGCAACCTTTTCTCCTCTCCCTGGCACACGATGGGCCACCCCAGACACAGTTTGGATTCAGTTTTCAGTTGAGCTCAGCTACTTTGTCAATGGTTTATCTAAAGAACCACACATTTCAAATTAGTCTTAAAATAAGTCTAAAAAACTCATCTGCAATCAGAAGGATAATTTAGTGAAAACAGTTGTGATAACCAGAGTGCTAGGCTCAGGGCAATGTGGGCAATCAAGGTGCTATCTGAAGGCAACTGTGAGATAAAGAGTGATGTGGATCAAGTAGGAATAAAATGCTGCCTTTATTCAGGACTGGATTCTTCTTTTTAAATTAATTTTATTTTGGTATCATTAATCTACAATTATAATTACATGAAGGACATTATGTTTACTAGGTTCCCCCCTTCACCAAGTCCCCCCCACATACCCGTTCACAGTCACTGTCAGGACTGGATTCTTATCTGCTGGCTTTCAATTTCAATTTCATAATCAGGATAGCGATTTATAGGGAACAACCACATGGTTTCTTTAAATGCTAAGATTTAATTTGATTAAACGTGGCATTTAAGAGAAAGCCCAGAGGGCAACTGAAATATTTAGAGAGAAAATAAGTTAAAAATAATGAATCTGAATTTAGGTTTCACAGGAGGTGAAACTGCTCTATTGGCTTTCTTTTAAGTTTACTACTCCTTCCTGTGAGGCAATATAGAGATCCTTGAGTCATTTTTATTTTTTGTTAAGATAAGCCAGAGTCTGTCTCCACAGCTGCCCCCTCGAAGACCGGGCAGCTGACGGGCCAGCTTTCGCACAGCACAGGAGACCTTCTTTACTGAGGCAGCTCCGTCAGGCTGCTGCTTGGGCTGGCATGTGCCAAGATGCCTTTCCAACCCAGCAGTCATTACGGGTCTTATTCATGTGTTTGTCGCTCCTGCCCACAAAAGAGAATTTTGGCCTAAAAGTTCTGGATGGTGCTATATAGCTTAAGAATTAACATGTTAAAGTGCTATTCTTTGTTGTTCAGAATAATAGAAATAAAATTTCTAAATCTCAGGAGGGATTAAAAAATGACATTAGTTTTCTCCAGGGAAAGAAAAGACTATGTGGCTAAGGGGAGAGGATAAGAGTGATTTTTACTGTGTATGGCCTTAAATTTTTTGGATTTTGAATTTATTCCATACCTTAAAAATTAAGAAACAAAAAATTTTTTTAAACTTCATGGGCCAGATCATTCTAATGCAAGGAAACAAATTATCCAATATAATTATCCAATTACCCAATATAAACGATCCAACAGCACTCACTTTTTGTATCCACTAGAGTGTCAAAGACTATTTAGTAGGGTGCCATATGTCACAAACCTTCCAAAATACAAGAATTAATTTCTTGTAAAAAAATCAAGTGGGAAATTCACTTAGCTTGACAATGAACAGAAATAGCTAAACGACTCTTTTTAACTAGGTCATCACCAGGACAATAATGTCACCGCCAACATTCAGAAAGCTTTTGTCTTGCCCACTCGGACTCCTCACACTGGAGCAGCATGAGCCTCGAGGGCACTCAGTGCCTCCATCCTTAGGTCCTATCCTAGTTGACTTATTGTGGATCTACTCAACGTCCAAGAAATAAAGGCAGAATGAAAAGAGCCATTAGGTAAATTCCGATTCCCCTCTTCTTTTCGATGTTTACTGCAGGCAGTTGGCTAAGTTCTCAGCTTACTGATGTGGAGACAGTTGTGACACCCACACAGTGGTTATCAGAACCACCTACACATTGGTAGGGTGCTGCTCAATTACTGAGAAACAGGCTTTTGTGGTCAGCAGAGGGTTTCCAGGTGGTTGAAAATGCTGTAAGAGATCCCTTTGCATTATGTACACAGTCTATTGTTATTTCCTAAGTCAGTTTTATATTTAACTTTATTCTTCTTTTTCTTTAAGCTGAGAAAACTCAAAATGAAAAATCCAGATGCAGCACAGTTAAGGTGCATGTCTGAAGACGCACGTACAGCAATAGGTCTTTTTACCTTCTGCTTTGCAAGAATCATTTATTTTAAAGGATCTGTGTCTGAGACAACTCTAATAGGCAGATTCAGAAATTTTTAAAAATCATTTTTGTAGGTTACACAGCACATTCAAGATGGGGTCTTAAGCACAGGTGAAGCCCCCGCAACCAAGCTGGCCTTCCAGAGATCTGTGCATGTTAAGTAAGTAGGCGGCCTAGCAAGGTGGGGGTCAACACAACTTCTTAGCCTACAAAGGGATGTGCCCATTAGGATGAAGCTGCTTTGAAATGGCCCTTCAGTCATTTACTCCATCACTGTTTCTGAGTAAACACGATAGAGTAGAGCCACTCAGTACAGAAGAGAATGAAAATTCTGGGTTTTGGCCCAGCTCTGAACTCCTGGGTTCCAGTCTCCTCAGTGTCTCAAACTTCTCATCAGGAACTTGTCTGGTACTTAGAAATGAGATCTATGAAGATTTACCACTAAAAACTGTACTAACAGTCAGCCAAAGAAGATAGCCAAACTATCATCTTTAATGCTTTCTCCTCAATTTTCTTCAGTTTCTTTTGACTTGAGAACCCAAAGACGCCAGCACAAGTATCTGCCCCTCAGGGAAAAGCCAGAAATCAAATCAACCAGAAACCAATGAGCAAGCATGCTGACAGAGAGCTTGGCTATCTCTGTCATTTTCAGAAGTCAGGGCTTAGATAAAAAAATTAAGGCATCACTGGCAAAAATCCAATTTGAGTGATGATTCTAATTTCTGTGAAATCACAGTGGCTATAACAGTCTTTTGGGAGGTAAAATACATGCTATTCTTTTGGTGTCATATGAATTCATTTTCTGCTTGGCCACCGAAGTTGAAATTATCTTTTCAGTCTGAGTTCCAACTGGGATAGAGGGCAAAGAACAGGACATGATTTTTACCTGCACCAAGGTTGGTTGGCAGGAAAGCAGCCAAGCCCACAATCTTAAATTTGGTTCCCCAGATATTAGACGTGACCTGAGCAAGATAGTTGTGCTGTGGAAAAAAAAAGAAGAAAAATCACAATCTATTTCCATATTTTCTACTGATCACTTAAGAAGCAAGTACATTAACACTGTCCTTAAAAAGCCATAGATGGGTACTGCCAGAAATATTCATTCTGAATATGATTATACCACTGTTAAGACCAGAAGCTAATAAGAGCATTGTCAGGCACCTGATTTCAGCAGCGGCTCACAGAGCTGTGAGTCTCGGGGTGAGAGTGAGTGGCAGATGTGTCCCAGTTTGTCCACACGTGTGTATGTTAAAAAGGCCACAAAAGTGATTCGGGTACATTTTTTTTACCTCTCCTTTCCTCCAGTCACTGAACTAAAAGTAGGCGCCTGGATGTCATTTTTATCTTTGATATTTCTCCTGGAAACATGAGCTCCATTGATACCTGTATGTCCTGAAACTACCCAGTTATCTATTTTCTTATTCAATTAAATTTTTAAAAAACCTTAGTTATCACTGTGTGTGTGTGCGCGTGTGCATGTGCACATGCAAGGACAAAAATAAAGATAAAATACAGCTCCTCAAAGAGCTTATAACCTAACGGAGGAGACAAAGCTTGTAGATTTGCATACAAAGAGTCACTGAGAAATGTCTAGGGCATTATCAGTAAGACACTTTGGGATTACTGTGGCTGAGCCAGAGAAGGAAGCCTTCCCAGTACAGGTAAAGCTGTGTCTGGAAGCATGAAGGCAGAAACAAGGGAGAGGACATGGAGCAGGTGAGCCCACTGCCCTCAGTGACCCAGGCAGAGCAAAGGCACAAAGGCGGGGAGAGGCTGGTCAGCAGGGAGGCTGTGGCCTCTGGGGGTGGTGGGAGCATCACGGGCACCAGGAGGGAAGACAGGCAGGGTCAGACTGTGGGGCTTCAACCAGAGATGGGCTCCCGTGGATACTGGAGTCACCAAAGGATCAGGGTGGCTGGAGGGTGGTGGACGTGGGGAGTGTGGATAGTCCCAAGTAGAGGTACCAATGCGCAGGTTCACCTGGCAATGGGGGACACCTGCAGAGGGGCAGGGAGGAGGCGAACAGGGCTCTGGCTAGGAACTCTGCGTCTGGCACACTGGGGGTTCAGCCGGCATCAAGCACACACCGAGGAGGGGAGAGAAGTGCAGTGGAGCCCTCCTGGGTGGCAGGCCCGGTCTTACCTGAGTGATGTCTTCAAAGGGAAACTCTCTTCGCGTCAGGCTGGGCGAGCCAATGGAGGGCTTGCGCATTGGCAACCGAGGAGACCTGGATATCTCCTGTGCGGCCCGGGACAGCTTGGGAGACTTCCGAGCCTCAATGTTGATTCTGTGGAGACATGGCCAAGAGGGTCAGATGCCTGCGGGGAGGCCCAAGCTGCCCCAGTCCCAGGGTGCCCACAGCCTGGTACCCCGCACTTTCTGGTGGTCTGCAGATGCCAAATTCTCCGGGGCCAGGCCCCTTAATTTACCCAAGTCCTTCCTGCCTATTTTTGCCTTATGAACATGAGGAAAGAAGGACAGAATTGTTTACTGAATAACATATATTAAAAAATATAGTGAGATTAGATCAAAAGACTATTTGTAAGGAACTTAGAGACTTTACTTTTCCACTTTCCACTGACTAACAGTAAGTTTAGAAATGTGCACATGCTTTCTGCCAAGGGCTGGCAAAATTAGTCCTGGGGAAAATGGCAGGTGGGAAGAGTCAGTTCTTTGGTACAAGGGGACATACATGTTTCGTGCCAGTCCACCCCAAACTGTACCCAATATTCATCATAAAAATAAAAATGGCAAGGTCAATGGTATTCTAAGAAAGAAAAGCATTAAACCTCACATGCACTGTTTGAGAGCTTGATGAGATATGTAGGGCTCCCAAAGTCTGGGAGGACAGGGGACTCAGCTGGCTAAAGCTCTGCACGAGGACAGTTACTTGGCTGCTGAGTGAAAGGGGATTCAATGCAGGGCAGGGCGGAAGGAAGGAGGATCAGCTCCGGAGACCGCGAGGTCCAGGAAGTTCAAGAGGATTTCATGGTGAAGGATTGGATGTTATGTGTTGAATAACCTCTCTGCTTAAGTAATGGGAAAAGCTGAAATACTGCAGAAGTGTAGGAAAACTCATAATTCCATGTGTAATTTTAATAAGCTTAGAAAATAAATGAAATAAATTAGATGGCTAGAACAACTGGATATCTATGAGACAATTAATGTTTATCCCTAACTTATACTATACACAAAAGTTAATCTGAGGTGTAAAAATCTGAGATCTAAGCGTGAAAGCTGAAACTATAAAGCTTCTGGAAGAGAACAGAAGACTGTCTTTTTGACCTTAATGGAGACAAAGATTTCCTAAACAGGATAATAAAAGCACTAACCACAAAAGAAGAAATTCATAAGTATTAGACATATATGGCAATTCATGTATCTGCCAATGAACTCATAGCTAGAATACATAAAGAAACTTATAACTCAGTAAGACAAGAACAAGTCAGTAAAAAATGGGCAAAAGACCTGAACAGACACATCACAAAGGAAGATATCCAAAGGGCCAATAAACATATAAAAAACTACTTAGCTTCATGAATCATTTGAAACATTAGGATCAAAAACACTGAGATACCACTACACACTCACCAGAATGGATAAAATTATTTTTAAAAAGTTACAACAGCAGGTGAGAATGTAAACAACTAGAACTTTCATGCACTGTTGGTGGGAATTCACATGGTACAGGCACCTTGGACGACTGTGTGGCACTTTCCAATAACATCAAACATTTATGTGTACCCAGGGCCCTGCCAATAAAATTAAACAGATGTGTACATGGAGGCCCTTCCACTCCTGTCTCCTACGTACATACCTGAGATAAACGAGTGCGTATGCCCAAAAAAAAAGTCTTGTACAGAATGTCTACAATGGTTTTTATTCATACATTCACACTGGAAGCTTTCAAATATAAATTAATTAGTAAATGGGGTGAACAAATTGTAGTACATGCATTACAGTGGAATTCCATAGAGTTAAAAAGAAAAACAAACTACTGATACATGCAACAACATGAATGAATATCAAACTCATTATGTTGAGCAAAACAGCCAAATAAAATAGGAGGACATGTTGTCTGACACAATGAATGAGCAAAACGACGTCCTAGGGACAGCAGCTAGCTGAGTGATCACTCTAGGGAGTCGGGGGTCGGATGCAAAGGGGCTTGAGGGAACCTTCTGGGTGATGGAAATGTTCTGTATCTTCAACTGGGCGGTGAAGACACTGGTTCATCAGCTGCACAATGAATTACATGTTGAGGATAGGCAGGGAGCATCTGTACACAAATTACACCTTGGTTTGGCACAGCACCACAGAATGTTAGGGCTAGCAGGGTCTTAACCTACCCTTTAACTTCCACAGATAAGGAGGCTCTTTAGGAAAAACCTTTAGGATCTACTTTTTTTTTCTTGGTTTACTATGTTTTCCCAGTTGCAGTATTTTAGGCATTTAATTTGACATTCTCTTCAACATATTGCAGATACTGTAAAACATTTTTCTTACTTTTCTCAACCTGGAAGGAAAAATAACTCAGCCAGGAAGCTATGGCTGCCCAATGCCACCCACTATCAGTGCTGACCCCTAGAATTTCTGAGGGGTTAGCCAGCTTCCTACTGGGTATCCTTTTCTATCCCGAAGGCAGGAATGAAGGAAAGCTGTAATTACTGCCAGCAGATCTTCCAGATGAAAGGCGGGGATGTCCCCTGCTGTGCTCTCCTGGCGTTGGTTTCAGTGGGGTGCTGCTGTGGGCAGAGAACCAACACACCTCCAGAGGCACCGAGAAGGAAATACCTCTAAAGACTGAGATTACCTTGGGAGTTTGGGTGATTTGCTAGCTCGGGAGATTTTGGGAGATTTCTTGGCAGCCCAGTCGTCACTCAGTTCGATGTCACTGGAATCTGAGCAGTTGCAGCTGTCAATCATGGTAGAAATCAAGCTGTTTCCATAGATTTCATCTGGTAAGACACCAACCAGCAAATTTTAGGGAAGTGACATCAATCAGACCCTAACAACAATCATTTTAGAAACTACAGGACAGACTGATGCTATAGGCCATTGTTCTAAGTCTAGAGGTTGAAACAGAAAGGAGCAGAGCATAGTTTTCCTTTTACATTTTTATGCTATTACATGTTCTAAGCAAAAGGAGGCAATCACTTCTACTGTAACCAAAGTGGGCATGGAATCTTAATGCGTCTGGAATGAACAAAACAGTCTGGTACTGCTTCCTGTGTCCAAAGCTGGAACCAAAACAAAACGGCTGCACTCTTGTGCCTCACGACACAGGTCCCTGGGTTCACACATGCTTGCGGGCACCCTGGGAACCCTGAGCAAGGCGCCCGTTAACTCCCCGACTCCTGAAAGAACCTGCTCAGACTCAGAACCTGCGAAGGCCCTTGTCAGTTTCAGGCCTGCTCTGGACCAGAGGCCTGACAGTTGGGTCATTTCAGGCGCCCCCAGAAGTCTGTGACAGGCCTGCCCAAACAGCCTCCCGGCCCAGCCACAGGATGCCTGTGGAGGCTGGGCTATTCCCCGACTCCCCACCCCTGGAGCCTTGCCTGCTTCGAGCCCCAGCTGGGGGGATGGCCAGCGCAGTATGTCTTCTGGTGGTAGCTTCAGGTTCTGCTGGAAGCGTCTATATGCAAGCCACTCTGATAACTTTGCCAACTGGCCACTAGGTAGAAGGCAGGAGTCCGAGGACAATGTGCACAGCAGCAGAGCCATCACAAAACTGCAGAGCAGTTTAAGTTCATGTCTGACATCCTCCTTGAATCCCCTTCTCCTTGGGCCCTTCCTCATGCCCCTCACACCCCTTTACTACCCGCAGCCCTGCTCTGCAGCCTGGTCGGCCTGCCCTGGGAGTACCACATTCTTCCGATTCACTTTGGCTGGCTGACTAAAGGCCCACTCTCTCAAGGCTCCAAGAGCCTCTCCAGGTAATAGGAAAGCTGAATCATTCAATCATATGGAATTTAAATTCCTAATATAGCATATGAGTGACTTTATCATTCAAAAGAGCTGTTCACATTTGAAAGGATTGATTTGTTAATGCGAACTAATCTCTAAGTTTCTGAACAGATGGAGTAGACATCTGAGAACAGGGTCCTCTCTGGGCCTACTCCGAAGGAGGCTGGCTGAAGCCCAGTCTGTGTCACTATGTCACCCCCTTCTTAAACTACTCCCAGAATCAGAAGGCTTGACTCGTGGATCCAGCAACTGGACTGTGGTGTACCAAGTCTGCTCAAATAAAAAGGCTTACTTCACATGCCCTTATTTAATTTAGGAGTCCCTGGATCAAAAGAAGTTTGGCCATGATTCAAACACACATGTAAACACACAGAATGCTTCCATGTGCTTGTGAGGAAATTCAGTAATGCATGTCCACTTGACTCCTGACCCACTTGTCAGTACCAGGATTTCCCAGTTGCTGCATGTCATGCCATTTGCTTTTTTCCTTTAGCCATGTCTTAGTCTGTTCAGGCTGCGTAACAAAATACCATGGCCTGGGTGGCTTATAAACATCAGGGATTCACGTGTGGCAGTTCTGGAGGCTGGAAGCCAACCCAGGGCGCCTTCCCAGTCGTGGCCCTCTTTATGGCTGCAGACTGCTCACTTCTGGCTGCTGGGTCCTCAAATGGCAGAAGGGGGCAGTGATACTGGGGAGCCTCTTTCATGTGGCACTCATCCACGATTATAAAGGCCCCACCTTCTAATTACATCCTATTGGGTATTAGGATTTCAACATGTGAGTGGGGGCGCATAAACATTTGTAACCATTTTTTAATTAATTAAATTAATAAAATTAAATTTTATTAACTAGTATGTTAACTCCAGGAGGGAAGGAGAGTCACCAGTCTCACCTTCTGCTGTAAACCTAGAGCCCAGCACAATCTGGAACTTGATAAATACTTCCTGAACAAAAAATGAGGTCTTTTCCTGAAACCTGGCTACATGCCAGGCCAACTGCAATAGAAACCTGGGAAATGGGGCAGAGGCACTGATGATTCTTAAAGCCCCCGGGTGATCCCCCTGATGAAGCCAGGGCTGAGAACCACTCACCTAGGAGAAGAAGGAGGACCTCCCCACAGACTGGATCTAAAAAGGGTGGGGTTGGGGTGACAAAAAAAAAGTTGCTTTCTGAGTACACACCTCGACTCCTGCTTGTTCAGTGTTATGATTACAAGTGTGTAAGCTCTGCCAATCGTCCCCCTGTCTTCAGCACAACTAGAGATTCAGTGTACTGATCATATCAGACCAACACTTGGGGTGCTAGAGATTCTGTCATCAATTTATCATCGAAATTCTGGAACAAACATTCAAGTTGTAGAAAGTTGTATAAATGGGATTGCTCTTTGAGAACCAAAGGCTTAACTATAATGTCTGGGGTTTCACATCCTAAGTCTGTCTGTTTTCAAGATATGCTTATCTCATCTGTGTTGAAGGCTCTTCAAAATATGCAGTCTGAATCAGGTATCTTTTTGGAATTAAAAAAAAAATCTTCTTTAAGTGCAGTTTAAATAGCTTTTAAATGTAAGTTCTATCTTAGTCTGCTCAGGCTGTCATAACAAAATACAATGGACTGGGTGGCTTACACAGCAGAAATGAATTTTCCCATGTTCAGGGGGCTGGCAGTCCGAGGTCAGGGAGTAAGCACGGTTGGACCCTAGGGAGGGCTCTCTTCCTGGTTGGCAGATGGCTGCCCTCTCACTGTCCTCACACGGCCTTTCCTCAGTGCACATGTGGAGAGAGAGATCTCTGCATTTCTTACAAGGCCACCAACCCTACTGGATTAGGACCCTGCCATTATAGCTTCATTTGACCTTCCCGGTCATGGCCCTGAAAGCCACATTCCCTAAAAGCCCCATCTCCAAATATAGTCTTACTGAGGGTTATAGCTTCAACATCTGGATTTGGGGGGATACAACCCAGTCCATGAGATTCCACCCTGGCTCCCCCTCAAATCATGTCCTTCCATGCAAAATACACTCATCCCAGCAGCCTCAAAAGTCTTAGCTCATCATTCCAGCATCAACACTAGCACCTCAAGTCCCAAATTCTCACCTAACTCAGAGATGGACAAGACTCAAGGTACAATTCACACAGAGGCAAAAATTCCTTTCCAGCTATGAACTTGTGAAATCAAACTAAGTTACGTGCTTCCACAATACAGCAGTGGGGCAGGTATAAGACAGACAGACATCCTATTTCAAAAGGGAAAAACAGAAAAGAAGAAAAAAGTCCCAAACCTAAAAGGTAAATTCCACTGGATCTCAAGGCTCGAGAATAATCCTCTTCGGTCTAATACTCTGCCTTCCAGGCCCTCTGGGGCTGCAGATGTCAGCCCCACAGCTTGAGGCAGGGGTCCCCAGGGATCTGCTGGGCTGGGGTCTTGTCCTGTCTGTCTGTCCTGTTGAAACTGGGCAATGGCCCTGAGGAGCTCTCAGCTTTGGGTTGTTTTTACTCTTGAAGAATAGTGCATGTTCCTAGCTGGTCAAATCCCACCCTATCAAGTCCAAGAAGTTCCACAACCTTCTTCCATCTCGTCTTGTGCAGACAGGCTGAGATTTTTCCAAATCTTCAAGTTCTGGTTCCTTTTGGCTTAGCAATTGCTCCTCCAATTAGTCTCCCTCCTTCCTCACTTTACTACAGGCAGTCAGGTAGAAGGCAGCCCCTCCTGCACGTATCTCCTCAGTTACACATCTGATCTCACCGGCCTGCCGGCTTTATCTTCCACAGAACACTCGGGCGCAGCTCAGCCAAGTTCTTTGTCACTTTATAGCAGATCACTTCCCTCCAGTTTCCAATGAACGCTCCCCATTTCTAACAGAGTCCTCACCAGAAACTGCCCTGCCACCCCTATTTCTAACATACTTTAACACTCTCCCAGCCTCTACCCAGGACCCCACTCCAAAGCTGCTTCCACACAGTTAGATATTTGTTACATCACCTCACCTCTCAGTATTGAAATCTGTGTCAGTCAGAGTTCTCCAGAGAAACGACCATGAGGAGACAGACACACACTCTCTCTCTCTCACTCTCTGCTGGGTTCCTGGCTCTCAGATGCACACGTCTCCGCTATGTGCTCACACCCTTTCCTTGGTGTATGCATGTGGTGGGGGGTGGAGGGGTGGCGGTTGAGAGAGAGATCTTCTTTTTCCTCTTCTTATAAGGCCATCAATTCTATTGGATTAGGAGCCCACCTTATGACCTCATTTAACCTCAACTACCTGCTAAAAGTCCTACCTCCAAATACAGTCACACTGGGGGGTAAGGGCCTTCACACGTGTGAATTCAGGCAGGGACACGATTCAGTCTACAGCAAGCTCTGACCACATTCCTTCTGAAAACTGGTAAGAGCTCTGCTTAAAAAAAATTACTGGGACTCTTGCTCTCTATTATAAAAACACATACTGATAATTCTGAAGAACATATTTGTTAAGCTGTGTGGAGTACACTGCAATAGGGTATCACAAACTAAATGCAGAGTGCAGCCACCACCTGGGGCACCCGTTATGTTGCTGATTTCTGGGCCTCACCCCAAACCTGCTGAGTCAGTCTAACAGGCAGACTTAGGAACCTGAATTTACATAAACATCCCTGGGGATTTGCAGGAAGGTGGCCCATGGACCACATTTTGAGAAACAAGGATGTGAAGGCCTGAATGATCATCAGCAGCTTCTCACGATGAGAAATTCTTGGCTTCTCAAAGTCAGGAATCTTTCCTCCTCTGAACCAGTTCACACATGCTCTTCACTTGGCAATTAGTCATATTCTGCCTTGTGACACATCTCCTATTTTTGTCTTGATGTATTTAAATCTTGACTTTTTCAAGTGTTAAATTTTCTTATCACCCAAAAGGGATTTTACACTCCTGGAAAGCAGAGACTCCTGGCATGCTTCGCACCACAGGGGCCTCAGGGACTGAGGACAAAGGGGGCACTGAATACATCCTGTCGATTTGCTTTGTTTCCCGACTTAATTCTTCAGTTACGAAAATCAAGCACCTCATTCTCCACAGTACTATTAGTGGTTGAGCTGGTCTGATACACTTGAACCTGAAGGAGGGGCGGGCACTGGGAAGACAGGTCAGGGTCTGGGCAAGTGCGATCTGCAGGAGGCTGCAGCCGTGTGCCCTGTGGCATGCCCCCACCTGCCCGCTGCTCCCGTGTCCTCTCCAGACGGAAATTCATGCACCTGTGGTGACACAAGCAAGCTTGTCACATAAGTTCCCTTCAGCGTTTCACCGAGTGTAAACATAATAACACTGTGCGCATGGTGGGCCTCGGGGACAGTGATATCAGTGAGAAGACATAGTGTGCTCTGGGTCAGGACCTCTCATACTTCCCCACTTCAGTCATCTCCGATCATCAGAGGCTCATCTTCCTTCCCCCGAACCTGTGTTTTCCTCCATGCTGACGTCCACGGCCCTCCCATGCTCTCCGCTTTGCCTCATCCCTCCTGCACCTCCCCTCTCCAATTCTTCCACTCACTCCTCCTGCTTTTGGTACTAGTTCATCACATGACTCAAAAGACAAAGAAACTGACTAATATCCAACTGTTTAAAGTACAGTTTTACTGCTTTCAATTATACACAGTAACACTGACAGCAAAACGCTGCCACAGATGCCAAGCAAACAAAGGCAGGCAGACCCGGGTGAAACACTGGAGCAGGCAAGCAGGCCACGTGGGAAAGACTACTGCACGGTGACACTAGTCATGCCACACTTTACCGCAGCTTCAGGGAACGTGAGGGGCAGGGGCCAGTCTGACAGGCAGGAGAGTGAATGGGATGTGGGAAGTGGACAGAACAAGTAGGAATGAAAACAAAGCTAGCTCAACTCCTACTGTTTCAAAGTCAGGTGCTTGCCAGGATTCGGGGGGCAGACAGAGCCCCAGCACCTCAACTACTGTGTGCTCCATGAGATCCGAGCAGCCTGACAGGCGACGGGCACAGGGCTGTGCCTCTCACTGCACTGTGGTGATGGGGGTGGTAACACCTGTGAGCTGCAGGGCTGCGGATGGGCGGGCAGGCCTCAAGTCACTCACCAAGGACATGGGGCAGGCCATGCGGTACAAACAAAGACTAAGTCCCTTCCTGCTGGAGGCTCATGGTCCAGGATCACAGCAGAGAGAGGCATACAGGGAGTGCCCCAACGGGGCAACGGAGTCATGAAGATCAGTAAAGGAGAGAGTTTTTAGAAGCCCAAGTCTTTCTGGATGAGAAGGAATTTCCCTTGGTAATCAGCTAAAAAGCAGTTGCTGGTGGGCTAGTGAGGAACAGGAGCAAGATTCCACAGGAGGCTAAGGAGGAGGCTAAAGATGTTTAATTCTATCATTCACTCTGGGGTTGGGGGAAAGAGCCCCTCACTACTATCGTCAGGCTGTCTCAGTAGTGCGTGAGGGCCCCCAGTGAGCACCTGACAGACAACAGAGTGGAATCTGTCACTCCGGGAACCGGAGCCAGCCCCCCCTCAACTGGGAGCCAACGTTCTTCTCCCTGTCCCCAACCCCAACCACAGGAAGCCTTATGGAACGCTGTTAAAAACCCATCAGAAAGTTCATTTAGAGAATCGCTAATTTTGATAGGAATTTGGGAAACAGAGTAGCTCCATGGATGTCCCATGCGAGCCAGAACCCAGGCGGCTCACATTTCACAGACAGGCATTATCTTGGCACGCGTTGTCAGGAATGCCACTCGGCAGCCACACCTGCGAACAAGGTCTCCCATCCCTCTGGGGAGGGGGCCCACCTGATTTGCTATCTGTCCGGGGGTCCATGATGACAAACTCGGGCCGCAGCTTGCTGATGCGCCGCCCCTTGAGGATGGGCACGAGCCCGCCCAGGTACTCCAGGTAGAGCGTGTAGCATGGGCCGCCCACCTCCGGGTCATCCTCCGTGCGCTTCATGGTGCAGTGCAGACGCTCGTTGCCTGCTGACGGATAGCTGACAAAATCCCGCATGTTGTTGGGGTCTGGAATTGGGGGCTAGAGGCAGGACACAGGGAGAAATGAGTGTGGATGTCACGGATCACTCTGAAAGAGCACCGGCTGGTAGGGTTACCTGCATGGTGTAGCACAGTGATTCACAACTCTCGGTGCAGTCACAATCTCCTGGGAGCTTTTAAAAGATACCTAAGTACGATCTCACCTCAGACCATGAAACTGGAATCTCTGGGGCAGCGGGTAAGCCAGGGCAGGTATAGTTTCTAAAGATTCTCCAGGTGATTTTACTGTGCAGCCAGGGTTGAAAATCACTGGTGCAGAACCAAGATTATAAAGCAACTTAACGAAAATCACAACAGATTCTAAAACTCTGATGTTTTAAGGAAAAGTAACCTTGAGCAAGTCAACTGATACTTAGAAGCAGAGACAGAACACAGAAGAGCCTCAGGTGCGGAGGGCTGGAGGGCACAAAGGAGCCCACGCTTGAGCGTATCCCACACCACACTACCAATGAAAACACTAGTTTTCGAGTTGCAATTAGAATAAAGGACAGCTGACAGTGAGTGAAGGGCAGGGGTAAGGAAAGCAGGCCCTAGGGTTGGACAGGGTTCAACCTTGACCCCTCCTGTAACTAGCTTTAGAGCAAGTTACTCAACGCCTAATAACAGGTTTCCTGCTTTCCTTAAGTACGAATAATGGCAGAATCTGCCAGGAAGTCAGGATTTAACAAGACAGACTGATCATGAGGATGACACAGCAGCGAGCCTGGAATACTGCCTCTGCCACGAGAAAGCTAATGCCCACAGCACAAGGTGCATCCCTCGTGGACACAAACGCTGCCGGAGCAGATGACCATGTGGGAGGCCGCGCTGGAACCTCTAGCATCCAGACACTCGTGCTACCTTCTGGGCTTCTGCTCTGGGGGTCCCGTCTGTATTCCCTGTCTCTGCCCTCCCCACAGTGAGCCATTCGGGAGCAGGCAGCCTGCATGGGTGAGGCAGGAGGAGAGGGAAGGGCGGAAAGGCTTTACCTTGATGGTGGGGATGAAGGCAGTGGAGAGGTAGGAGCAAAGGCGGGGGGGCAGCGTCAGCTTGCTGACGTCCTTGTCTTCTCGCAGGGCGCTGGCAATGGCCTGCTGGCAGAGCAGCTGCAGGCTGGACACCCGGTGCTCCACGCGGACCACGTACAGGGCAGGTCCTGAGGCCATCAGCAGCCGCGAGTCCCGGTGTCCCCAGCAGATGGAGATGATAGGGCGCTGCCAGGAAGTGAAACGAGACTTTGCTTTTGAGCTAAGCAAGGGAAGACCAAGTGCGCGTGCACCACGTAAATTAACTGACCTACAGTTTCTGAGAATATGGTTTTAAAAAGCACAAAAGAGGATGTCAAATACTGCATATAGAAATTCTGTATTTTCACTGAAAAGTAGTTAAGAGAGCCCCAGGCCGGAACACACCACCAGAACAGTTTCACAAAGTTCCTTACATGTATTACCTCATTTTATTTGGGGCCATAAAGCCTAACTTAGCTTGGAACAATGATATTTCTACCAGGAGATGCAATCAGCTTGGGGTATAGTAACCGGTATTCAGTACTGAAGCTGCAGTCTACCTGGATCCCCTAGGAACTGGGTAGTTTCTTGGCTTGGGGAGGCAGTGAGGGGGGTAGACCAGATGGCCCTTCCCTCCAGTCTTTCCAAGGAGCATTTTAGAGTCAAATCCACACTAGATTTGGGGTCACCAGTTATGTGACCTGAGGACTATTATCTAACCCCTGGACATCTCCTACTTTCTCATGAGTAAAATGGGAGCTGTGATGATTAAAGGAGATGAAAAATGCCTAAGTGCTCTGGGACCTATCACGGGTTGTAACTTGTAGATACTAAGTCACTAGTATTTTCATCCATCCTTGAGCTGATGGAGCATAGAAAGAAAGCAGAAAGCTGTCTGGAAAGGGAGAGAGGAGGGGACACAGTTCCTGGGGGGCCACTCTAGGGGTCTGTGACCACCATGTGCTTTGAAAAGGTAGGCTGGAATCCAAATAGGCAAGTTAGGAACTAGCTGTCCTGAAAAAAATCCAAAGCCCAGGGGTGCCATTTACATAAGATCAGCCGAAGAAAAAGCAAGAGGTGGAGGTTTTGATGCGGATGCAGCGGGAGAATTTGCTCCTTCCAATGCAAACAGACGGAATTCTAATTTAATGAGGTTTTGAGGGGTTTCAAAGATCAGAAGTGGGGACACTACATCTTTTATATGAATGGCAGACAGGAACAGAATTTTCCCAACACTTTCATGAAAAGCATCAAGATAAAAGGAACACATGAAGACACTTGCTTAAAATAGTCTCCAGGGTCAGTTAATCCTGGTTTTAACTTCAAAACAAAATGCTAAGGCTGAAGACAACTCATCTTTAATTTCCATCACAGTGAGGCTGGGTGGGCTCACAGCCTCTGCCCCCTGGAGGAAGACCATGGAGCCTGGGACTCAAGCTTGAGGCATCCTGAGAGCTTCCATAATGGGCCTCCTTATAAGTGGATCCCACGCACACAGCAGACCCCATAGCAGGCCTGTTAATTTAGAGCAAGGCACTGTTGCTGATGAAGACGGGACAGGCAACAAATAAAAACTCGACAACAAAATTTTGGTTATCACCAACCCCCCTAAGTGCAGGTTAAGAACGAAATTCGGTCAGTACCAAAATCATGCTTAATCTTAAAATATATGGCCTACCCACCACCCCTGAGCCTCGTAGGATAACACCTGCAACCTAGAGCTCACATAACAGTTTTTCATCAGCACAATCTGACTGGTTTGAACTCGGTGCAGAAATACCAGACTTATTTTGTCCAATGTCCCTGCTTTTGAGCCAACCTGTCTGGCCCGCCAGTTACAGGGCAAGATGTACCGGCTGTCCCCTCTCCTAGTTCTGCTTTTCACAGTAACCATCTCTGTGTAACAGTTGATTACATAGTTTGGGAGGGTCTCATATACAATTATCATTATGATAAGTACGTATCTCTGATATCTTTGTACAAAGGAACTTAAACCACTTACACAAACTTGCAAACTGGAAAAAAACCCACTTATAAGTATAATCACTGCCTGTCATAACAAAAATAACAAGTCTTAAAAACTTCCTACCCACCAACAGCACATTAGGTTACCTTAATAAGCACACATATTATCTCATTTAATCCTCTAACCTCTACCACAGGTATCATTATTCCCACTTAAATCCAAGACACTAAGTAACTGGGTCACAGTTTGTGCACAGGACAGCAACAACTGTCACCAGTCACTTCCCCATAATCCCAAAGCCTGTGCTGATCTTACCACAAGGTGCTGCCTCTTTTAAGTGGCAATATATTGATTCAACCACCTAAAGAATATGCAATGTCCCACTAAAAAAATTTAATTATCTATCAATCACAATTAAGGTAATGAACCTAAATTCTCCCCTGTTTTCTCCTTAAGCCATTTGGTCAAGACTAACATACTCGGAAAAAAAGTGAATACCATGTCTGTAGAAAAGGTAACAAATAACGGGAAACACACTGAATAAACAGCTAACGGGCAATGACTGGAACAATTCGTTACGGCAGAAAGGAATCCACAGTGGGCAAGTGAGCCACGCAGCACTGCTAGGTGAGCAGGACGCAGCAGCAGGAGGGCATGGAGGCAGGGAAGGACCCCGCTGCTCCGCGGTGTGCACTGCATAAGTGAGGAGAACTTGCAATCCTCAACAAGGGGCAGGGAGTCTTGAAAGGACTGAGATGTAGGACCCAGGAAAAAAGGGCTGAAATTATTCTGCCTGGAGAAGTGATCTCAGGGTCTCAAAGGAGTAAGTGTTACCTGGAGCAAGGTTTCCAGGAAATCCCCTCTAAGAGCAGGACAAGCACACCAACAGGAATTCACGGTCTAGTGGCCTGGAGTGCAGCATTCATGCGCTGACCCAAGTCAGTGATAGTTTATTTCCACAGAGAGGGGGAGACCTGCTCATGTAATTTATTTTTATAGGATGTAATCCATGTAAGATGATAAAGCAGCAAAATAAATACTGGTACTTTTGCCCTAATAACTTTTAAGGCCGTATTAGAAAAATAAGGAAGAATCTACAAACAGTGAGAGCTGACCTTCTTGTCTGAAGACTCTGAGTTATCACTGATGTCGGGAACTTGACATTGTAACTACCACTGAGACAGAGGTGGTAGGGCCACAACCTTTAAGGACCTTTTAAATTCTGGGTATCCTACAAAGTCCTTTTATGTGGGATTTAACACATAGTATGGTGGCTATACGTAGCAATACTGTACTATATACACAGAAGTTGCTAAGAAAGTAAATCCTAAGTATTTCACCACAAAAAGAAATGGTAATTATGTGGTGTGGTGGCAGTGTTAGCTGACCCTGTAGCGGTAGAAAGTCCTGCAGTATAAAAGTGTATCATATCCACACATCGTACACTCTAAACACACATAGTGTTCATGTCAACTGTATCTCAATAAAGCTGGATGTAAATAAATAAGAAAATGAACACAGAATATTTTTGTACCTTTTTTATAGTTTTCTGAAATGGCATCTTACTTATTACAGGTCTCACTTCCTGTGCTGCTGGCGAGAGCTCTGGCCTGCAAGGCCCTTGCTACTCATGTACTGTTGCTTCAGAAAGGACAAGAGTCAAAGTGGGGGCAGGTGCACATGCTTGCAGACAGGGGGTGCATCTCGGTTTAGCTGTAGCCATTTCCACTACTCCGCCACTCCGTCCCCTAGGACCTATGGCACTGGAGCCACCCCCAAAGGCCACCACAAGTGCTGTTTTCCCGGCAACTTCCTGCCCACCAGGGTTAGTCTGGCACAAGAGACACTGCCAAATATTTAGTGCTAAAAAACCTGGGCACAGACAGGAGCACAGGCAAACACGACTCGCACAGATTAATGTTTGTGTTTGAACAGCTGCCAACTGGTAGGGAAAAATTCAGTTGTAAATCTGTGGACTTAGTATCTTTTTCAAATCACGCAAAGTGACTACATTTAGAACTGATGGCTAGAACTGTGAAGATGGTAACAATCAAATCTTATTTTGTGTGGGGAAGTTCACATAATTTGCATGCCAAAGGGCAAGCAAATGAGCTACATGTCTGGGAGCATCCGTGGTGGACACCCAGTGCTTGGGTGAGTTCCTCCAGCAGTGAGAGGTGTTCTCAGCAGGAGAGGTGGCCCCTCCCTCGGAGGGGCAGAGGACTGGTTAAGCACAGCCCAGCCATCCTCTCGACTGCTGCCCTCTTATGTGTGATGCTGAGCCGCAGAACAGGAATGCAGGGCCATTCACTCACTTTACTTCCCCTGCTGCAGCATTACGGAACGTGCTAGTCAACAGCCAGTTTCAACCCCTATTGGCCTCTGAAAACACACAAAATATGTCCTAACCTGCCACCACATGGCACACACCAGGCCTCTGCCCAGCCATGTCCTCACCGACTGAGCTATCAACCACCACTCAGTAAATACTGTGACATGTATACAAGAGGACGGACACATTCTAGGTGCATGGGGTGGCCCCTGAATAACACATCCTCTGCCCTGACAGAGCAGACATTCGGGGGGGACTAGCTGACAATATCTGGCACTGAAAGGCCATGAACAAAAAACAGGGAGGGAAGGGCTGCTGGAGGTGCTGGAGAGGGAGCAAGGAGGCTGCTGCAGGCTGAGGGGCCTGAGAAGGCTTCTCCAAGGAGGTCGTTGCAGCAGTGGCCCGACTAAGATAAGGGAGTTCCTTTTATTCTTTTCATCAGAATTGAAAGTGTCCTCACTATACCACTACTTAGCACACAGCCGTGGCATAGAGTCCTCTAAAAATTTAAGAGGACTAAAAAGGGTGTTCTTTCCCTATATTAAAGATAAGTTGTTCAAGCAGGAGTAAAGTTAACAGGCAACAAAATGGCCAAAACCAGTCACCCTGGTGCAAGAAAGGGAAAATGAGGACATCTGAGCCCACGGTTTGTGGCTCTGGGGCTCTGGGTGAGGCCTGACCACATGGCCCTAAAGGCATCAGTCCCTGCGGAAGCTTTCCACAACCACTGCAGCCCTTTCTCTCTGGGCTGCACCCCCCACCCCAAAGAAGGTGGGGATCTGTCTTAGAGGAAATCTCCGTCTTAGAGGAGAGACTCTTCGAATGTTTCACAGTCCCTGGTAGAAGGGGATGTTTAATGTTTGTGCAAACATGTCCGAAGAAGGAGAGCCTTCTAGAAGGGTTCACTTTTAAATAGACCAAGTTGGTGATTGGTCATCATCAAATAGTGCTGGCCGGAAGCACAGTTTTGGATATTAAGTTACAATGACCAGGCCATCAACTCAGTTTCAGTAATAAGAGAGGGCTCAGGATTCAGTCACCCAAATCTCAGTTTTAAAATACACTGTTCTTGTATTTCAAAAGCAGACAACCCCAAGGACTTTCTCAGCTATTTACAGCAAACAATGGGAAAAGCATACCTTCAGCAGCTTTGTGAGAGCACAGAGTTCATTCTCAGTGAAAGGGGGCAAATGTATTTTTGCTAAAGGAGTCCCCTTCAGGAGCACAGAAGTCTGTGGCCCTAAGTGCAATCTCTGATTTGATTTTTCACTTTCCAAACTTCCTTTCTTTTTCCTTTTCTTTTCATTTTTTACCCAAATATTTTATATCAATAAGTGACCCTTATGGAATATAAGATGACTTCTCCAACTTACCTGTAATGAGAAACAAAAAAAAAAGTTCATAAAGCTAAAGCAAAACAAAACAAAAATCCAGCCCCAATTACTAAAGCCTGTAAACTTCAGTCAGCGACACTACTCTAAAAATTTGTTGTCAGATTATCAAATATGCAATTATAGATAGATGGTCACAGATAAATGCTGATGAGATAAATTACAACTGCTAATAATTTTAAATTATAATGGGTAGGAAGGAAAGGAAAATAAATTATAGTATATTTCCTTATAAAAGCTTCAGCCCCTGGCATTGCTGTTATTTGAGTAAATCAGAAGAATCAATTTTAAGCTGAGGGTGCTGCCAGTCTGTGCCGGGCAGCAGCTCTGAACACAATAACCTACATTCTCATTAACGTGGAGATAAATTATCCAATCTAAACTGCATTTAGTTCTTTTTATAAACAATCCAATAAATTGCCTAACTTCCTTCCTGCTATAAAAATGTCCCTGTCTTTAGACAACTTAAATAGCACAGCACAGATTAGATGAGTCAGAATCATTTCAGACAGGAGTTAAGTTGGTGCTACATGTAAATAATATTGTACTTGATTTTTAATAGCATCATCATTACTTAACTTTACATTTGAGGCAATTTTTTTAAATGACTGGAACAGAATCTCAAATAAAAAAGAATCACTCAACAATTTATTAAAATGCTGAGACACTGTACAGATATGTTTCTGCAAAGGAAAATCAGCCAAGCTCCTCTCTTATCCCTGAGCCCCAAATAGTAAATTCAGGACCTATGATAGTTTCATGTGATAGTTGATGAGAATGTTTGCAATGATTAAGGCTGTTGAGAAGAGGTGTTGCAATCACTGGGCAGATTTACAAAAGATGTGATTGTGTTGGCATTAAGAGGACAGATTTCCCTGAGCAGAGATGGCAGGGAAGGATATTCCCTGTAGAGGGAACAGAATGGCGGCAAGAAAGAGGCCCTGAGTCAGACAGAAAAGTGTACAAAGCTGAGTGAGTTTCAGCACTTCAGGTCACAAATATCCTAATGACTATAAAAGCCTTATTAACTCATAAAAGAGCTGAAAATCTCCATGTTCTGCTTGTCTTCAAGGTAGGCTAGGAATAGAAAGCTAGCCTGAGATTTGATTAAGAACATATCCTACTAGTTCAAACAATACCGAAAGAACTAAAGAAAGCATATGCTGACACCTGTCCATCCATCAATTCACTGAAAAAATATTTACTGAGCACCTACTGTGTTCTAGGCAATATACTGGCAGTGGGGTCACAATTGTAAAAAAGGTCCTCTCTCCTTCAACTCCAAATCCACAGGGACTCCAATATCCAAGTTTATTTTATAACACACTTTGGCCACACACTGATGGCCTCAAATCTATTCCACTTCAGCTTCCCCTGGGTTCACCTCATCCCTTAGAACTATTTCACTTCCAGTACAGGAATCTTAATTTCCTATCCTACCACAACTTCCCATCCGCATTTCTTGTTTTTTGAACATGCTTCATTATAATGACTTTATACTTCCTAGTCCCAGGCCGCAAAGCACCTACCACCAGAATCCATGGCTGCCCATTTCTGCAACATCCTTAATAGTTCCCTAAATTCCTTCTATTTTTAGCTTTTCTGTCACATTAGACCTACCATTCTGCCCCAGGGATTGTAGAAAAGGCCTGGAAAGCATTTACTCTCTCTTTAAAATCATACTACCCAGCTTTGGCTGGGACTTACTGTCAGCCTATTATCTTGAATGGCTCCTGAATCATATGCCTCCTACTAGTGCTGAGTTAGAAGCTCAGTGCCAGCCACAAAGTAGCCCCTCAAAATGTTTGCTGGATGCTTGAACAAATATGCTTATTTGACCACAGAAGATGTAACACTTGACAATAAAAAAACAAATAACCCAATTAAAAAATGGGCAAGGGTCTTCAATAGACATTTCTCCAAAGAAGATAAACAAATCCAGCAAACACATGAAAATATGCTCAATATAACTAATCATCAGGGAAGTACAAATTCAAACCATCATAAGATACCACCCTTACACCCATTAGGATGGTTACTATCAAAAAATCAGAAAATGACAGGTGTTGGCAAGGATGTAGGGAAGCTGCAATTTTGTGCACTGTTAGTAGGAATGTAAAATGGTGTAGGAACTGTAGAAAATAGTATGGCAGTTCCTCAAAAAAATTAGAAATAGAATTACCATATGATCTAGCAATTCTACTTCTAGGTAATTATCGAAAGAATTGAAAACAGCATCTCAAAGAGATATCTGTATGCCCCTCTTCACAGCAGCATTATTACACATAATAGCCAAAAAGTAGAAGGAACCCAATGTCCATAGATGGATGAATGGATAAGCAAAATGTGGTATATGCATACAATGGCATATTACTCAGCCTTAAAAAGGAAGTAAATTGACACATCCTAAGATGTGGATAAACCTTGAGGACGTTACGCTAAGTGAAATTAGCCTGTCACAGAAAGACAAACACTGATTCCACTTACATGAAGTATGTAGAGGAGTCAAATTCAGAGACAGAAAGGTACAGAGTTTCAATTTTGTGAGATGAAAATGTTCTGGAGATTGGTTACACAATAAAGTAATACATTTAACATTACTGAACTATACACTTAAAAACGGTTATGAGTAAATCTTTTGTACATTTTATCACAATTAAAAGATACATTTACATAATTAATGCTTGCATCTAATTACAAATTCCCCCACATCTGGTATACCTGCCTTTCTGATGCACTGGGTCAGGTTAGGACCTACATCCCTAGTTTATTATCACCCCCATCAATCATCAGCTCACACCCAGACCTGTTCCCACCACACTCCACTAAGATCTTTGTCCTCCACCATTACTGATCCAGGTCAGAAGTGAGCTAAAGATTTCTAGGAAAGAAAAACAAATAGAAAGGGGCCCATCTGTGCATAGTTTCTTCAACACCCTTAAGCTTTTTATTTAGTGTACAGCAATAATTTAGTTGAAATGTGAAAGTACATTACTGGCATAGCACACACAAAGTCACAGTGAATAAATGAAGATTCTGTGTTTCTTTTGCCAAGTCTCTCATTTCTACTGCAAGTGATGATAAATGCCAGTTCACTCTGCTTACTCCCTGTTCATTGATTTGGGGAATGGAGTAAACTATTCCAGTTAAAAGGCAAAAACTTCTTCTTCTCTTGTTTCTTCTGGTTTATACCCCATAATTTAATAAAGATCAATTTGAGATTAAAATCTGTCAAAGATAATACAGTGAGTATAAAGAATTCATGAGTGTTTAACGGAGATTGGGGCATACTAACAGTGGCGCCACAGCGAGGGTCTGACACCTGCCCTTACTTGCACAAGTGTGTCCAGTGTGAAGATGTGCTCCCCTCGAACATTGTAGAACTTGACCATGGCACTCTTCAGAAGAGGGCCGTTGGGAAGGTCACCGAGCTGGGTCTGCCGTTCCATACCAGCAACTGCCAGGAGGTCTCCCTGTGTGCACCACTGGGCCACCACCTCTGAAATCACAAAGAAAATGGTCAGCATGAGGACAGGAGCATTCCTGAACTTTTACTCAGGTAGTTTACAAAACAGAACCACTGAGCCAATCCAGTGGCAGCTCTTCCCCTTTCTCCCATGAAGAGAGCAGGTTCCCCATTTCTCTTAAGATAGTAGAGACTCTACTTCAGAACAGGTGTTTGTTATACAGATGGGACTGCAGCTGCTGAAACAACTAAATCAGGCAAAAGCCACATATGAAAGGCTAGCATGTGAAATATCTAACACCAGCACCAGGGTCTCCATAAAGGGCCCCATGGGACTCTGACAGAGCAAGAAGGTAAGAAAACTGTGACTGTACATCCCAAGTGCTTTCTCACTCTGCCCCCGACGCCCACAGATGATGCAAAGCATTTACAAACACTAAAAGGAAAAAAGTAAATCAAGGGCAAAGCGTGAATTTATATTCACTTGATTTTTATGCACCACTGGGCAGATGAAGTTCAGATAAAGGACAGGGCTGCATATGGAGGCCTTGACGTCTATTCAACATTGGGATGCTGTGGGGCTTAGAAAGAAGATAAATATTTTTGTGGGCTGGTAGTGTTGTCAGAGAAATTTTCACACAAGAGATGTGATGCCTACCTAGAAACCACTTAGTGCCTATAAGAAATGGTTGCTAAATGGTTTGTCTAATCCCAATATGAGCAACTTACTTATTCTTGCTGGTAATATAAGCTATTAGTACTACTAAGATTTATAGCATAGTTTTCCTCCCTCAAGACCCTAACATGGTATCTGGCTTATACAGAGTTCCCTGGACTCCACAACTCAGGGGCCTGTTTTGCAGAGATGCTAGGTGGATCTAAAAAGGGCTCTGCCAGGACAGGGGCATGGTTCAGACCCAGGTTTAGAATTCAGCAGCTCCTGAGCTCTGTCAGGTCCCATGTAATCATAGCATCCCTCTCTTACTCACATGCACTAGAGATTCTGACATTAATACCACCACAACCTGAGGTCACAAGTATTCCTTAACTTCCCTTGAAGACTGGACAGAGATCCATGGGAGAACATGGCTCTCCTGACCTTCGAACTGAGAGCTTGCTTGTCAAGTTAGCCACGGATAGAAATGAAGAGAAAGAGGTAGCAGAGGGCTACATGAAGTAGTTAGAGACAAACACAAAATGAAAAAAAACTAAAACTGAGATAGTGAAAGCACCAATAAAAGTAGTTTTTTCCCTTTTTCTTATAAAAAGATGTGAATAAGAAACAGGAATAACAAGACAGGAGATGAAAAACAGTTTAAAAGAATCAAGTAAGTATCCTGGAGGATGAGAGTTAAAATGGCTGAGGATTTTGTGCATATACTCAAAAGCGCCTAGGACGTCCACACAGCTCTGTCATGCTTGGGAAATGCCTGGTCTTGACGATGAGACTGAAATGACCTTCTCTGGATGGAGCTTTGGAAACACAAGTCAAAAAGAAGGGCAACTAACACTACACGTGAAGGTAACAAGAAGATGGGGCCCACCCACACTGTCAGGATGGCAACATCGCTGTGATGCTGCAGAAACACAGATGATAGCACTGAGTTCCCAACGCCCTCCTGCCCGACTGTGGTCAGGCGGGTGAGTGAATACTTGCACCATTCCTGTTGTTATTTATTTTAATAAGGTTCTTTGAATTTTCTCAACCTTTAATTTTCCCCAACAGAAAGGTGGGGTATTGCCCCAGCAGGGCTGACCTACAGACACTGTCCATTCAGAGTCTGCTCAAAGACTAACACGGCGAGCCCTGAGCACGCCTGGGGGCTGTGTACCAGAAGGGCGCTATCTGCCGGAGGTAAGAATGAGCCCAAATACATCAGGGATTTCTTCAGTGCAGTCGTAAGGTTCTACAGAGACGGCTGTTGCCTACAAAGGTAAGTCATTCTTTAAAAAAGAGTAAGTTCCATATGAATAATGTCATTACTTGTTCTGATGATTACACAACTAATAGCCTTGAAGGACACAGCAACATGTGTGGACCCTTTGATATGTAGCATGACACAGGCCTGATCCATGGGACAGGCACACCAGACATCAGGGAAACAGGTTCTCTCATAAAACCCTGATGCAGTAAATTTAGGAGTGAGACTAACGAAGAAAAGCCTTGGACTCTTCAGTGTCAACCAGGGGTCTGTGAGTGCCCTCCAGAATTAAACCCCTAGGACTGGAGGTAAAAATCCTCATAAATTACTACAGAATGAAAGAAAAATAAAATATTTACTTAATTTCTAGATGTCACTACAATGAAGCAAGGATATGGAAGCCTAGATGGGGTCAGGAGAGAACCAGTTCCATCTCAGAGTTTTTTTGTAAGCTATGCCCGTCTTACTTTAGGAAATAATCTCCAATATCTTTGCCCAATATTCTACTAATAATTTCATTTATTTGAATCTCTAAAAAAATTGTTTTAAAATATAGCCTAGAAAAAGAACTAACGCTTTACTCAGTAAGCCTCTTTCTACTTTTCCTGCAGCTCTCAGGAGAGTCCCTAGCGGTGTGGGGAGCTCTAATACCCAGAATGGGCCCTTTCACCTGAAGCACTAATTTTTCTTGATGATTTTGAGGTGGGTGTGGATTTTTGGTCTCTTACACTGTTTTACACAAAGAAAATCAGAATCACATTATTCTATTTTAGCCAATCTTCTGCATACTTTTTGGTAAAAGCCTGGAGGGTCAAAATTTTACATCTAGTCAAGGTGAGAAAATTTGGTTCTTTTGGTTAACAACTGCCCCCTGTGTGGCATTAGAGCTGGGTCACAAAGAGGCAGCCAAGCATTAGTGGAGAAAGAACAGTGCTCTTACCTGTTGGGAGTCTGAGATTCACAGAGGCCTTGTCCCCTAGATGTACATGCTAATGACTGGTTTAACTAGTCATTAGATACATGTACATGTGTGCGTGTCCAGACAGAGAGAACACAGGATGAAGACACAAATTAAGTAGCAAAGTATGTGATGGTAAAGTTAACAGGTACATTTTTTCCTTTAATAAATAGTATTTTTGGTGAACATAGTAAGGACTAAGAAAAAAATCAGCATGTATTCAGTGAGGACAACTGGGTACAATCCTTGCCAGTCCAAAAGGGTACAAATCTCAGCCCAGGCTGCAGGGATAGCTTTGTGGACCAAAACTACTCTGCCTCCAGAGCCCCTTCTGATTCTCTCTGTGTGCACAATGAAATGATAAAAAGAGGAAACGCCGCAAAACAAAGAAACAAAGCCTAAGGATTTGAATTCTTTTAAGATGAATGTGAGGTGAGATGAGAAGTGCCTTTGAAAGCTTGCTTTACTGCAAGAGGCACACTGGCTTGATCAGTGGATTTCTGAACTCAGGACTGAATTATTTTTCCTTGGAGGGTAGCAGAACATGCCACCCCAAAATATGCCACGTTGGTATAAGGATTCTTTTGAGTGGAAGGCAACTGAGAAGCAGCAGACACAAAAAAAGTTCTCTCCTTTCCCCCTTTTACCTAAAGGCAGGATGTAAATTTTTGAAAATGTCTCCCCAGACCCCACCAGAAAGTACAGAAATTAATCCCTGGAGACAACTCTACACCCCATCAACCCTCAGATGGCATCAGAAGAATCTACATCACAAGCCTCACCAATTAGCCCTTTAGTTCCCCAAATGTTTACCTTCCCACAATTTGCTGCACTAGAAACTTAAAGTCCCTTTCCTCTGTCTTGCCATCCCTCTAAAAATGTATTGTTCTTTTGTTAGGATGCTATGTGAGCCCAGGTTCTACCCCGCCTTGAGCTGCTCCTCTGAGTGCTTCTACAAGTAAATGTGATGCACGTAAATAAACCATTTTTGTTTTCCTTTGTCATCTGTTTTTTGTCAGTCTAATTTCCAGGGCCCCAGTTTGAGAATCTAAAATGGGCAGAGAGAAAGCAGATTATCGTCGATGGTAAAAGTGGCTGTGTGCCTCTTTTGACAGCAAGCTGGTTACCTCTTTCCAGTATCTACCAATGCAACCCATAAAGCAGTGGACAAAAAATAAATTTTTCAAAAACCTCTTGCTATTTGTACCATGCATAAGACTGACTCTTCAGAGTATTCTGAACACAAGACATCAAAGGCAAACTGCCTACATGCAGCACCTTCTGGGTGACACCAGTTCACTAAATCTCATTCAACTTCCTGAAATTAGGGAGACTCAGTGCAGAAGCATCTCCTCCTATGAAAGTACAAATGACTGAAAACACTTTTAGATCAGACTTAGGTTTCTAGTCAAGTAATGACAAGAATGCTAAATCTGCCTGTATTTTGAAGATAAAACTCAGAAGTTTTCACACTTAGGGGGGCTACTTTGGGTCACCTCCCCCAGTCAGTTCATCCATGTTCCTAATCCTCTACCGCATATTTGGGGAGAGTGTATGAGAAGTGCTGCTGCAATGCCATCTAGGATGACAGAAAACAAGACAATACATCCAAGGAGTAAGAAAATAAAGCTGCCATGGGTACGCATGATGATGAAAAATTAGAAAAATTCACCCTTTAGAGATACAAGGGGACCGAATGGTAATGATGTTATTTTCAGTTCTGATCACATACTTGGCAGAAAACAAAGTTTAGGCCTCCAGAACTAGAGTTGGGTTGTAATGAAATAAATAAAACTTCACTGAAAAGTTTAAAAATAGGATTCTTGAAGAAAAGGAATAGAGCTTGGATTACTAAATATATATGAGAATTTATGATGGTCATTCCCTACAGTTTAGCTCCACAAAAGACAGAACATTCAGAGAAGAACTTACAGAAAAGCCCAAGGAATTTTTTTTTTAATTAAGATAACATTGATTACAATCTTATGGAGGTTTCACATGAGCAACAGTGTAGAAAAGCCCAAAGAATTTAAGTTCATCATCACCACAAAAAAATATTTAGCTCCTAAGAGGGCCCATTTGTGGTATAAAGCAGGATTTCTACATAGTTCATGTCCCTTAGGAATTTACAGGATAAATAACTCCTTAAAATTATAGCTCTGAAACAGTAAAATGGGACACCCAAAAAAGGGAGTGTAACTTGCTCCTAAAAATACTCTAATAGTTTTAAAATAGAGTTATTGAGTGCTTCAGGATTTGCAGGCAGGTATGATGCATGCCAGCCAATCAAGAGTTAAGTAGTGGACTTGATTCTCTATATCCCGGTGACTCCTGAATAATTCAGACAAGAGGCACATGGCCATAACTCTGGTCCGATGGCCAGTTTTGACTGACAGAAGCAAGACGAACTGAAGGTTCTGGGCTGCCCCCGACCTCCCAGGCAGAGGACCCAAGGCAGATCAGGAAGTTCTACATTGCACCCATCAACCTTACAGAGACAGAGCTGTGTTCCTAAAGAACCCATCAAGGTCACAACGTCAGCAATATTCTCGAACTGCGAAATTCAGAACACTCCGAATGCCTATGGTCACTGCTTTTCTCTTGAGATGACAGCATTCAAAAGGCATCAGCCTTTCAGGAAGGCATTGGTGTGTGACTGCTGGCCTTCATGTCAATGCTCAGACTGGCAATTGTGGACCCTCCACAAATCTGTCAAGGTAACTTCGTTGCATAAGGGCCAGTTCTTTATAAGTCTTAAAATGATAGGGGCTTGTGTGTAAACAGTCTGTGTATTGTCTGCTGCCTCAGGAATGGCAGGGGCTGCCACCTGATACTGCGCAAACACAGTGGCAGTCGGCCCGCGGCCATTAGACTGTGTACCCCAGGGAGGGGCGCTCTTGTTGTGGTGGGGAAAGAGCAGATGAAGAGAAGACTGACTGTCAGGAATTCCTCCTCAAGGTAAGACAAGGTATGGGCTTGTCAGATAAGCAGAGTAGCGAAAGGAAAATAAATTTTATTAACAGACTCCGATAAGCCCAGAAGAGGTCACTACAGTGAACAGGAATCAGTAAGTTTTGGGTGCACGACACACAGCACAGAAGGCAAACATGCACAGGGCTATCTGTGGGCCTTGCTCACACGCAGCCTTTCGTACCTTTCAGCCCTGAGCGGATGATGGTAGGAGACAAGTCATCATAGTTGTTCATTAAGCTGATGTCCCCCGAGGTGAAGCTGACAGTCAGCAGCGGCTTGATGTTCTGCACCGGGATGGGATATGCTGCTGGACCATCTGCAGGGAAAAAAGAGTGCAGTGTGAAAAAGAGGCAATGGACTCGTGGCCCAGGCCCAGGTGCACAGTGCTACCATCTTGTGGAGGACCTGGAAAACTGCCTGACGGTGCAGATCAGACTCCGGACTGGGATGTTACCAAAGAAGCCAGCATTCTACACCACTCAAGGACCACACAAGGCCACCAGGAGGGTGCTTACAGAGAACCATGCATCGGAAGCAGGATGGGCCCAGACAGCCTGGAGGCACTGAGTGGGGCTCCTCGGGCTCTGTTACATGGGGATGAGAATGTGTGTGAAAAATTTGACCTGTATATGATGTGTTTAGTGACTTCTGTATAATGTTTCTAATACCATGTAAATGTGAATTATTTTAGTGTCATATAATGGAAAGAATGGTGGGAAGAGGGATAAAAACATTTTCTTAATCCTGGTCCACTGTAGAGAACAAAGTTGCTTTTGACACTAGATGCTCTTTCATTAAGTATCATAGGAAATGAGCAGCCACATCAGCTACTATCAGTTCTTCAAGCTTTTACCATTAAGCGTCCCCAAATCTGGAGAGAAGGCCAAGGTTGGGTGTGGCTCATAAAGAATTTTGCTCCATCCTCTGTGTATAGCCAGCATAAAGAAAATCCTGCTTTATAAGTTCAAGGATTACTTGGGGATGTTAAGGGAAGGGCCACGAAGGCTCATGTTCTGGATTCTTCCATGTGTCGTTTCAAAAAGGTAAAGCTCATGTTTGGCAGCCATTCACAGCGGGCCAGCCTGATGTCTGCTTGCGCACCTGACTCGGCCCTGCCTATGGAGGACCCCCGGTCATTACTCCCCTTTGCTTCATTTTAAGATGCTGCAGGTACCTACCTACCTTCGTGCTCCAACTCTCTAGGCCACCAGAAAAACCCTGCACCATCTGAAAGGCAGACCCCAGTCATCCTCCAAATTGTGCCAACCCTACTGAGAACAGTAACTTGTTAGAGCAGCAGCCAGGACTAAACTCTATTGTTAGACTTGCTTTATAAACTTGGTCTCTGGATCTTATTTCTTCCAATAATAAATGGGGATAAATAAATCTGCATTCAATTTAATGAAGTTCTGTTGTAAAAATATGCTGGTCCAATGTTTTCCCTGACTATTACTATGAGGCTGGAAAAATGACCAACACTCAAGGCTGGGGTCCTCCTAGGAAAGGGTATGGTTACCTCCCAAATGGATTTATGGGAGCTAGAACACTCTTTTCTCCCAAGACTGACCCACAGATCCTGAGACACTACACTGATCTAACTATTTTTTTCCTGTGTGAATATCATCTTCTACTTAAATAACAAATGAATATGTATATGTCTCTGGAAACATAACATATTGTTATGTCTGGGACAGAGTAGCAGACAAAACAAGAACACTCCAAGTACCAATGGGAGCAGATGCTGATGGGGGAGAAAATTAAAAATCCTTTCCCTGGACCAGGAACCCACACGCCCACAGCCACAGGACAGGGCTCTGAGCACGCGTAGGAACACAGCTGAGGAAAGCAGTCCGGCCTGCATGTGGCACATCTGGGGGGAGTCTTTCCCTTTCACCGTTTAATGGCTTATTTGCCTTTTAAATCAAGAGGCTGGTGCAGGGGGTGGGAAGAGCCCAGGCCAGGGGGCCGGCGCCAAATGCTGCTATTGGAGATGGCTGCCTCAGCTCACATCAAAGGCGTCTTGGCAGGGTGGGGTCTCTTTCACATTGGAAAAACACACTGCAAGGGGTGAAGGGGACTGGAAGCTGAAATCACCCCCACCGAGGCTGACACAATTTTTCATTACCGGTCCAAATGTTAAAAAGCTCTGATGTCAGCTCATCTAATCCAGCATCACTGAGAGACTGAGGTGGGGAGGCAGGTTCTTCTGAACTGGGAAAGGGAAGGGCTTCTGCCTGAGATAGGAAGGCGGGGATGGGGATATCAGCCCAAGGACTGGCCTTCATCACAGGCAGAATTGATTTTCTCACACAGCGGAAGCTATGGGCTGCTGAGGTGCGGTAACAATGCAGGTAAGCCCCCCAACACCCCAGGGACATGGAAAGGGTCGTAGGTCTCATTTTATATTAGGAAAACCTAAGCCAATGGAGCTTTGCCAATCTGACCTGTACGCTGAGAAAAGGGATAGCGGAGAGAAGACAGTCAATCCCAGGGCAGAGATCAGGCAGGTCCTGCCCTGCGTCTCCGCTGAGTCGGGGCACTGCACAGTGCGGGCCCTCTGCTGGGCACAGGTTCATCCCCTCAGGCTGCAGGGCCGTGCAAGGTGGGCTACCTTGGGGCGGGGAGTAGTCATCCGAGTCGGTGTCGCTCTCGCTGCTGTCCTCCACCAGGAAGGCGGGGTAGTTCCAGGACATGCTGAGGATGCCATCAGACTCGTGCAGGAGGACGTGGGCCAGCATCCGGCCATGGCAGTCCATGACGATCACCTGCCCGTCAGCTGTGCCAAACAGCACCTGTAACCAAAGGCAGGATTCCTGATGGCAGGGAAGAGAGGGCGGCCGTTTCCCCACCCTCTCCACAGTTACGTACTAAGGGGACACACACAGCATGAAATCGTAGAAACTGAGCTGGTTATTACTGAGAGAATTTGAGTCCTTGAACACTGAAATGGGACTGACAGCATAATAAATATATTTCTTATGGTGCATGGGCATTTTCAAATGATATCTGGCAAAATCACTTTCACCCGGTGTGGGCTGTTTTGTTTGCTAGCTTTGATTTTTTGGTTGGAGAAGGAGGATTAAGAAGAGGATAATATTCATTAATTTTTCTTCAAAAAAGGAAACAGTAGAGGTTTGTTGTTAAGAATTTCTCAAATTAAGAATTTCAGGTGTATGTTTGATGAAAGGGTGAATACATTTGGTTATGTAAGCACGTTATCTAACCACACTTGGAAAAGAAGATGCTCCTGAAATAATAGTCTGTGCAACATTTCACTTCACTGAGAATAGTAATGGCACACATGTAGTGTAATTAAGGAGTTGATGTTATAATGTATGAATGGCCCTGGCACATTCACTGGGTGCTTACTTTGTGCTGAGCAAGATACCAACAGCACCTAACAGAGCTTTGGGTAGAGTGGACACTGAATAAGCATTACTAATTGATTAATAATTAGTGAGTATTAATTGTTAAATGAATGAATTAAAGTCAGTGACAATCAAAAGATAATTTTAGGACACAAATCCTGATGATTAAGATAGATTAATTTCAAGGAAAGATGTATTTCATTTAAGTACTAATAAGCTCACAGAATTTACAGAGTTGTTTTAGAATAAATCCATTATCCATCAAATAATCCTTTAAACATGACCTACATTTTAATGACTGAAAACTAAATACAAGGTTCAAATAGTTTTCCCTAGGCATAGTGAGGAATTTATTACTGCCTGCCACTTAAAGGAAAAGCAGACAAAACTACTAGAAAGACAGAGAAAATCCTTTTGGAAAAGTTGACATTTTGGCTGCCAACAGAGAAAATAAGCTTCCATGGGCATGTTCACAAAGACCTCCTGTGACGTGGGCTCGGGGACTGAGACAGTGGAGCAGGGATGCCCTGGAAGGCACAGACACTCAGTATGCTGGGCGCACAGCATTCAGGGATGTGACTGTGGAACATGACTTCTGGTAACCTTATGTACAATTTATACACATTTCGAAACAATTTGTGTGGGAACCCTGCCATCAGGCCACTGTCGTGGATGGCGTCCCCAGGAGGTGGGCTTTTGTCCTCCCCTTCACAATCCCACACATTTCTTCAAGCTGTTTTGAAGAGCATCTGTGTACCTTGGTTCCAGGTGAAGGGGTTATTTTATGCCTTTATGGCTTTTGCTTCTAATAAATATAGATCATTAGCGTGCGGCAAGACTGCTCTTCCTCCCACGTCCCTAGGATCAGTACGTATCGGCCCTTACCAGGCCCTCTGCTGCTGTGGGTCTTCACACCACCTACCATCTCCTGCCGGTGCGCCAGCGCTATTCTCCCCCCTCACTGTGAGATGATCCGATTTCTGTGACTCCCATGCCAGACTGCAGCTTTTGAGGACATGGGCCAAGTCTGTTCTGCTCACTACTGTCTCCCCAGGGCTGTCACAGAGAGTGACACATGGCAGTATTTGTGAAGGGAAGGAGGAAATGCCTCTGTGTTGAGGCATCTTTTGAGTAACATACATTTATCCATTTTAGAGAAGAACAGAGGGCAGACAATATAATCAACATCTAATTCCTAAATAAAGGGGCTGATGATTTAAGGAGCAATCAGTGTTCAAAATCACACTAAAGCTAAATAGGACAAAAAAAAACAGCTCCCAAACTCCCTACCATTAATCAGTTCCAGCTGCTGCTCTGTTTGGAAGGTAATGCACTAGTAAGATCAGAGGGAAGGAGAAAAGCAGCCTAACAGTCTAGCTGTCAAGCAGTGATGGAGGAGGGTAGGTTACCCTGCTTGGGAACAAGTAAGCCACAAATAACTGAAGAACACTGATACGCTGAAATAAGGCTTTTAAAAATCTTCTCTATTTCAAGTTCTTTTCATTCCTAATCACTCCCAATGAAAAAAGTTTATGTGAGCTAAGGACTTCAAGAGAACAAGGCAGAAAAGTCTCATAATAATGAATACACATAGAGGAAATGAGTCGATCTCTGACACTTCTACTCCCTGATTCTGATGCTCTAGATAGACTGATGATGGCTCCTCTTTCCCAGGCACTGTCTTTTTTTCTAGGCTTGGCTCTAGGCTCTCTTCTGTGTCTAGATCGCAATCATGTCTGTGGCCTTGAAGACCCCATCTGGGGCTGGTTCCCTGCCTAGGCCTCTTCCTTAAGCTGCAGACTCAACCATCCAGTGGCCTACCTGCCACCAAAGCCTCAGTGTGTCAGAGGCCCTTTGGAAACACATCCCAGATGAGATGCATGATCTTGTCTTTTCCCCAACCAATACACACACAGCCACGTTCTTTTACAGCAAAGACTGTAGCTTGTGTCTTATCTCCAATGTCCACTACAGAGTCTGGCACATAACAAATGCTCAGACATCATGTGTGGAAGGCTCTTGGGACCCACTGCACAAAATTCATCTCTAACCATGGCGCCTACAGCTTTCTGAACTTTGCTATTTTTGCATGTCTGTCTTTCCCATTAAACCATGAGCCTCTTGAGGGCAGGCCTACACCCCCAGGTTCTCACATGCTGCCTGTCATAAGTAGATGCTCAGTGACTATTAGTAAGTGAATTTCTGCCCAGAGCTTTGGCCTTTGCCCAACTTTTCCTACAAATAAGCAATAACTTCTTTTCTTCTTTAAACTTAAATGCCAATGCGCAAATCCTCACATAAAATGGGCCTCTAAAACATTTTCAACTATGGGTGATGTAAATTTCTATCTCTTTTCCCTGCTTTTCTGCTGTTCCATGCAAGGGCAGGGGCAGGGACAATGTTTCCTCTGTAACGTGAACACCAAAAACCAAACAAACTGGGAGAAACCTGCTGGTCCTTAGGCCTTACCAGTTCAATGGCTATCGCTCACTGCAGGGCCATGTTTAGTATCAATGCAATTGTAAAATATTTATGGTGTCCATATGATTGTAATCTCTTCATTTCAACGTACTGTACTCTAAACTACTTTTAGATGGAATTATTTAAAAGTATAACAGAATTATTACCAGTAGTTTAAAATGGACCAAGTCACAAAACAAAGGGAGTAGGAAGAATATGTGAAATCATTCAAAAGATTTATGTTCTGGAAACCATACCTCATCAGTACCTTTATCTTTAGAGAATGGCACTCATCTAAATTCTTGAATAAAGACCCTATAGGAAATTTCAGCTACAAAAATAGATCTGCTATAAATGTTCACTTCTTTCAAACTAGAGTTTAGTAGCACTGAGCTAGTTGCCAGAGTTGACTTTTTTCCCATTTATTTGCTTCTGTGATTTAAAGCTACAGAAAACAAAGTGACTATAAATTCCTACTAGTAACTTCAGCCCCATCCATAGCAAACATCTAAATGTGCCACGACGGAGAGAGGAATGAAGGGACAAGCCGTGATGCCCTGTGCTCTTTAGAAGAAAACTTCTGTTCCGAGATGCAACTGAGTAAACTTTCTTTTGCAGGACTTCTCTGTTGGGTTTCAGAACACTAGCTTTCAAATGTGCTTCAAGGACAGATTTAAACATATTACAACTAAAGAAACAGAGTCACTCAAATCAGACAGTTGTTACTGACAGAATTGTTCAATTAACAGAATATTTCCTGCTGAAAAAAAAAAGCTGAAATGTAATTTCACAGTCGACTGTAACAATCATTTCTAAAACACTTTAAGCTTAATTTCTGGTAAACATGGGAAAGAAATCTCACCCAAAATATCTATACAAAAAATCCTTATCTTTGGGCTAAATGATTTTTTGAAGTCATTCTCTCTCTTCACTGCAGAATAACCACTTATAAACTGTCCCATAATGATGAGACGCTATCTTATGTTTCAAGATTTCCAGAGAAAGAGATATTCTATCTGCTTGAGGCATCAAATTTAATGCTAAGTAATCCCCATAGTTAGAACATTCTTCCCCAAATCTTTCAGGCTCCACTGTTAAGTTTATTCACCCTAGATGTCTGGGCGTAGAAGGGAATGGTCTGACTACAGGGCTAATTAAAAAGCACATTAAGTAGGGTAATCTCCAGAAGCACACACAAGTAACTGGAAATACCAATTTCCTCTGGGGAACAGAACTGAGTGGCTTTTGGATAGTGGCAGAAACAGGCCCTTCCATCATTTATCCTGTTGAACATTTAAAATTTCACACTCTACTATTAAAAATATTTTAAAGAATGTACTGAATGAGGCAGAAGAATGTTTCAAGAATACAGCTCTATACTGGGTCTTCAGGCAGGATGAAAACACCGAGGGTAGCACTCACCACACGGTCCTTGGGGATAAATGCACTCCTCTAATTTGGGAAGAGGCTCAGTGATACTGGAATCTGGTAGCCTGTTTGGTGAGACATTCCAAATCTTTTGGGGAAACATCCTTTCCTCTGCAAAGGACTTGGGTCTAGGAGTTGGCTAGCCTGGGATCTGGTTCTATTTTGATGCCTAACTACCTATGTAACTTTGAACTGGTCACTTATCCCCCTGCATGTTTGGTCTCCTGTCAGTTAAAAAAATTATATTCAATGAACTCTCAGAATCCTTTCCTGGTCCAAAATGCTCCAAATCTTTAAAATATATGTAAATATATCTCTCAATATATGAAAATAGTAATTTCTTCCTGTGGCTACTAATACACTTCTTCAACAAAACAAAAGGCCTAAAGAAGAAATGATTTCCTGGTCTGAGTAAAAGTATTCTGACTCTCTAGTAGCTGCCAGAGTATACAGTGATGGAAATAGGCCCAACAGCACTGTAACTGGTGTCAGAGATAAATAATGCCAGGTCATAGATATGGAGGTAAGGACAGATT